CAGGACGTGATTGAGCCATGCGAACGAGCTCACATATGAAGTTAAACGGGGCAAAGCCCGCGGGTACAGCTAGTCTTATATAACCGTACTCTTAATAGTGACCACAGGTTAAGAAATCGAATTTGAATAATTCCTTTTAATGCGCTTACTGCTTGTCATATAAAAAAAAGACAATTTATGACTAAATAGAACCTACTCTACAACAAATTGCTACTATGTTGCTCACACTATCTACAACAATCTGCCCTACAACTTACGTGAAAACTATTTTGAACCACTGGTCAAATACAAAAAACAAATTACCCTATGGCTACAAAGCATTGGGAGATCAACTGCTCAAAATTTACTGATCTCAACCTACAGACAATGATCAACCTACAGGCAACCAATTTACACTCACATCAGCTGATAGAGTGAAAGAACGATTGTATGCAAGCACGTATGTGAGCTGTTCCCGATTCTGCGCCACAGGGACAGAGCATTGACGGCCCTAGGGCTACCAGCCGCCTGTTGGTGTCGGAGTGAGTGCAGCAGTGTGTATGTGTGTGTGTGTGTGGGTGTGTGCGCGCGTGTGTGGGTTTGTGTCAGTTTGGGTGTGTTTGGGAAGTAAGTACAGTAGCAGGTTATCTTTTGGGAGTAGGGAAGGGGGGGGGGGGTGGGGGTACCATTCGCTCAGTCCTCCAGCGCAAATTTCAACTTTCAACTTTTAACTTGTTCTAATTTCCTTTTTTTCATAATTTAAAAAAAATCTCTAATAATATAACGACTCTCTCCCACTCACAGGATTAAATTATCCTTTGTGGGGGATAATTTCGCTTGATTTAAAAAGCTTTTATAGAAAATTAAATATAACCTAGGAAAATAAATAATATTGTAAATACTTTTGTACAGTGATCATAATATTATGTTATGTCTGTTTTTTGCGAAATAAATGATATTTTGATTTGATTTGATTTGATATGTAATTTACTTAAGACCAGTAGACATTTGTTCTATTCTTTATACCATTTTATTATAACATAACAGAAACCTATGCATTTGTGACATATTTTTGACAAATCTATAGTTTCTGACTTGTTTGAGGTAAAATAATTTAATACGTTAGTCAACTGTAGGCCTAAACATTTTTCACTTCACGAATACAAGAAAAGGTGACTGATTAACAGCAGGGTAGTAGTAACTTATAGGCCTACAACTATTATACAAGACTTTGGAAAACCAAACAAGAATTCAAGATCTACAGAGCATCAAAACAACAACCCGACCATATATTAAATGAACAGCAGTCCTTCAAATCAAACATAATTTATAATACTGCCATCCAAATTATCAACCAAAACAAAAGAAACCAGAGCAAAGATAAGGGGATAGAAGGGGAGGGGGTCCCAACTCCCGACACGGGTCAGTCATGACTCATCATCTAACGCTACCGGTTACGTAACTCGTGTTCGGACTGCTTGGCCAAGTTTCTTATTGTAAATATTGAAATGTTTTGTATGTGTTTCGTGTTGTGTCCTAAAAGTGCCGACGTCTCCATCCACGGATGAGAAGACCATATTTTAACGTTCATACAACCTGAGGATGTGCTCGCTTAGCAGCACGAAACGGCCGTAGTTATTAACTTAAGGATCAATCGACGCAACAGCTAAATTAAACCTTTTATATTTGCATTATCTTGATCCAGAGGCTAACCCATCATGTAACCAAAATTGCACAATGTGTAGTTTTACTTTATAATTAATTCCTTTTTCGAGACCGAACTTAAACGTACAACTCATATTATTTTACACTTTAATTCTCTTATAATTTAATTTGTACATAACCTTACTTTTTACAAACTTTGAAATGAGACGATACTACTGGTTAAATCCATTATCAATGTTTATTATTAATGTTTAAAAATGTAATCACAACACGAATACTTGTTTTTTTCTATCGGGCCAGTTAGTTTACTCTAGTCCACTTCCATTTCACTCCAGTTCCAGTCACCAGACCAGCAGACCACTACCACACTGGGACCACCTTTCACCTCAGTCTCTTCGGTCAGTTTTGGAACAAAAGAAGAACTTGAAGAAATGGAATACGCAAACAGGTTTTTTCCGGTCGGTGTGATCCGGATCACTCGTTCAATTAGATGACCCGTTCAAATCGAACACCTCCTGACTGAACGACCCACCTCTATACAATACGTATAGAGGTACTCTCTCACATACTCTCTGTACGTGAATTACAAGTTGAAGCATTGGCAAAGTCTGCAATAGTATTTTATATAGCGATTGGATCGGTGGGTATGTCTACAAATACTATTATCATCACGTGAGTGAAATAAACAGATATAGCAAACTGACACATACTTTATCCCAATAGTTTATCAATAACCCTTGGTAAGCGGTGGGAGTAACTATGATTTTTTATAGGTAGCCTAAATCACAATAACCGCAATAGCCTGACTTTTGAACCGTGATTTATACAGCTTTAGGGGTTGTACCATTTTGTATAGAGTTAAGAGTATAACATGGCTACTGGCTACTAAATTTCAGTCAAAATTGTTTGAGCAGTTTTTTGTAAAAATCAATTTTATGCGGTTTTATGGGAAAATCACCATTAAAAATCAAAATTCACAAAAACTGAAAATAACCCTGGAGATACCATGGATTAGTACCCACATTTTTTCATTGAAATCAGACCACAGGTGTGGTCTGTAGCTGTGTGTACTTAGAAAACTAAAATTTTCACTCAAAAATGAAACATGAAAAATTTCGATAAAAAAATACTTTCTCCTTACACTAAGTATCGGGGGAGAAAGTAAAAAACAAGGTATTACATTATTCAAACTATTTAAACTCGTGGTGTATCAGTCCTGAAATTCAGCCTGTCAGAGGCAGAGGCTGTGGTAGGGAATGGGTGTGGTGTTTTCCTTGTCCCTTGTCAGTGGCCAAGAAGCTCCAGCATGATTAAACTCATTAAACTACCCTCGAATTGCTTTATTATCGGGTAAATTTAATATTAACTGATTTAAACCCTACGAATAACAGATTACACTGTGCCTTCTGTTGTGCCGTAAACATCGTACTGACGACTGGTATCAGTGGTGTCAGTCGCAATGACGGCCTACTACCGCGCAACTGTTCTGCGCATGCCAAGGTCAAAGTTCCCTCCCTTGCTGCACGGAAACCAAAACTTAATTATTTTAACTTCAATTTGAGGTATAAAACATTTAGTTACCTTGAAAACCCAAGCAATTACCATTTAAAATTCAGGCATTCTTTTGTGGACACCCTATACTTACAAATTTGTCAAATATTTGCCATTCCCGAAAATCCATATTTTAAATGAATCCAACATACTATTCTGGGTTCTTTTTAATTGTATATATATCTAGAGCTGACATAAACTATTATGTCCAAACCTTTCTTTTCTTCAAAGGAGTTGTGGAAGATAGAGTGAGATATTATATGTGTAAACAATCTGTCGATGAAGTCCTGAGATATGGCCCTAGTTCTGTGATAGGAATGTTAAGAAAACCAGTTTCTTAGCTGGATTACATCTCATTAGCCCAGCTATATTTCTGTTACACTTTATTTTAACAATAAAAAGGAGTAGCGAGTAATTTGTTCATAAAATTTCTTCAGCTAGATAAACCAAACCAACAGAAGCATTATCAAAAGGGTTTGTGTCTATCTAGATACAAAATTGCTTAAAAGTTGTAGCATTCATACAAGTAGCTAAAATCTACAGCACTGTTAATAGCTTCAATAAAAGTTTCAACAATTAGGCCTAGAGCTACAACTAAACGGGATTGCTCTAAATATTAGTAAAACAATGGAACTGTAATTTATGACGGTCATAAAGTACTAAAACATACAAACAGATAAAGGATTATCTTGCATTTGGAGAAAAACTTGTATACAATTGTAAATTGTGATGAAAATATTCATATTTAGTTTTGTAATACAAATATTTTATTCAGGTATTTTGTTATCTGCGAAAGTGTCATATTATATTTCATAGCCCTAATTGACCATGGAAAAATATGAGTACGTCTGCTTATTGATTTGAATAGGATTGGTCTTAAAATCCTGCTGGTTTGATCACTGCTGAAATGACTGGATGTGGCAGATAAGCGCACAACCTGAAAATAAGACGAGAGATCCTCACTATTAGATTACTGAGTCCACAGGTCAAGGTGTTTTTGAAACTTCTCTTGAGATAATTGGATTTGATGTACAAAATGTAAAAAATGATTATATTTTAAGAGTATTTTAAATTACAGTACCTTCCATAATGAGATAGTGATTTTCTGATGATTTTTCGGTTTTATGGAACTCCTGCAAGTCGGTGGTTCTGGTTGACTACTAAAACTCAACTGCAGTATGTAAAGTTTGGTTTAAAATTGGCCTTCCACTGTTACAAGCTATTTTTCTGAAATATAGGGTGTTTTGAAACTCTCTCCTGAACCTCCGTGGTCATGTTCCTTAGGTCAATACAACCAAAAAATATCGTCTAAACATATGCCCTATCTCGCTTCACTTTCCTTCTGTCAGTGTGTATGTATTTTTACCTAACTTCCCATTGCTTTGAAACCACTTGAGGTACCAACTTCAAACTTGGTACCGGTACGTGTATAATTTCGAAATGGTGGCCATCATAATTTTTCAAAGGTTGATAACTCAAAAGCCATAGGATTTATAAAAAAAATACAAGTTGCAAAAAGGATGGAAATGTAAAATTTTTATAGGGTTATAACACAAATAACGGAGAAAATTTCATTTTAGCAAATTTCCCTTATATTATATATTTTATAGATATCGTAAAACAAGTGTATCTTATTCAATTAATTTAACCAAGATATGTTTTGTATCTTTCAAAATTTAATTGCCTAAATGGAGTTTGGAATTGGTAAAGTAGAATAAAATGTTATGTTGCAGAATGAATTGGAAATGCGACTGTGTAAATAAGTTTATTTTAATTTTACCTAGGTTATTTTACTTTTGTTTTAGAGATTGGAAACAGCCATAAATGACAAGAAAAAGATATATATAGACAAAGTTGGTGCGTTGATGTCCGTACTGGAAAATGTCTTGACTGGGTATTTGTCCAACACAACGCCTGAGCAAATCGTGCTACTGTTTGAATACTTTCACAGGTAGGATTTATATTTTTATTTAATTTATATTGCTTTACTATAAATTATCTCTCAGCAACATTCAGCATCTTGTTTTCAATATAATATAAAATTATTTTCTTTATACATTTCCGGTTTCCAAAGATATTTCCCTTCAGTAACTTATACTATGTATCACAGAAATTTTATCTTCCTTTTCTCTCTTAAATATTTTTTAATATTTGGGTTTTAAATTACAACTTAATATTTGGCTTAGGATTTTTAATTACAACAATTTCAGGTTTAAAACTAATAAAATTACATTTTCTATTCAGTGGATAATAATTTAGTATGGATCGATAAACATTTCTGTCTTTTTATTAAAATAGTAAGCTATTTATGCATGACAACATTTCCAGGTGTAAAAAAAATGATAACTATGGCACATGCAGTGTTAGTTAAACTGTGTCTATTCAAATTAGTTGATTTGACTTACTATTCCAAGTTATTTCTTGTAAAAGTTAGTTAATTGATCTTTAGAAACATATGGTCAGCTCAGCTTGTTACTAGTTAGTTGCTCTCAAAAATTATTGGTTACTAAGTAGAAGATAATTTATTAAATAATTCTCATGTATATACAAAAGGTTTATAGCAATTTTTTGAATCTAGAAAATGATTTTAGAAATTAATCGTAGGACCTTGAGGTTTAAAGTTTTCTCGTCAATTGTGGAATAAAGTATACTCACTTCATAACAGTAAATGAAAAATTACTGTACCCAATGAAATGATAAATAATCAAAAATTCACATAGCGTAACAAATATATACAGTAATTAGACAATAAATGGTTTGTTTGTAATTTCTTGAATTAATAAAATAGCATCACAAAAATAGGAATAGATTTCTTGCTTCATAAAATTTATTCCTTCGGTCCTGGGACCTTTGCCTTTCATTTGTTACTTAACAACATTTAAAAAGTGTCTAAATTTTGCCCCATGTACAGGTTTGTATCTTTATGCAGATGACTCTAATCTTAAAGTATCTGGGAAAACTGCAGAAGATGTTGAGTTGCTATCCACAATAGAAATAGCTTGTATTGAGGATTTTTTTAAACTCTCAGTAATCCGGCAGATATAGGACCATGATACTGCCGGATTACTGGAATGTTATCAGTAAAAACACTTAACATGCACTTAAAACACGTCTTCAAAGATCGCACAATCGGAAACTGCTATTGCTGCGATCGGGCATCTTGACAATGACGTTTCCGTAACCGCGTGAGTGGATGATAACGTCTACATGACCGCGGGAGATGTTCATGATTTTGCCGCAATCGCGCATGACGACGGTGAGGTTTCCGTGACCGCGAGAGTGGATGATGATGTTTACACGGCCGCGGGAGATGATACAATTTTCGCCACGGTCGCAGGAGACAAGGATAATGTCTACATGACCGCGGGAGATGTACATGATTTTACTGCGATCGCGCAAGATGACGATGACGTTTCCGTGACCGCGGGAATGAATGACACGGCCCAGTTTATAGTGGAATCCGAACCACATTTTTGCCTTGGTATATACGAATTGTTCTAATTATCAGGATAGTACTGCGGATAGTCGTAGTACTCACTCGTGCGGACGTTAATCCACACCAGAGAGTATCGCATCCACAGTGCATGCCTATAAATATCCACAATTCGTGACATCCTAGTAGCTGGATTACAGGACGACGCCACCCGTCCCAGTCAACCATCCTACACTGGCCTCAAAGTCCACAATAGCCTACCACAATCACTAAGGTCACTGAAGGGAAAACCACTGAAAACACAGCTTCACAAGTGGCTAATAGACAGACCTGCTTACTCCTTGAAGGAATTGCTCCAATCCGATCTGAATCATTAACTTGCACTAAATTTCTCGTTAAGCACTTACATTAAAATAACAATTTTCATAGTCTCCTCTTAAACACTGTTTCTTGCAATTTCACAGTCCATTTATGTACTAAGCCATAAAAATTCTTGTACTAGTTTTAAGTTATATTATTGTATGACACCACTGTATTTTCTTAATGCAATTACAAATAAAGAATATTTTGATTTGATTTAGATGAATTGAAAATGGCTTTATCTTATGGTTTTAAGCATTAGTTTTGATACTATTCATGTACAACCATGTATACTATAAATAAAGATTCTTAACTATGACCATAAAGGTTAAATTTGTTTTGATTGCTAAAAAAAAACTCTTTCATTAAATGAACAGGTTATTTTATCAGCCAGTTCTGAAAATGTTGCTTCAGTTTGTTTTCTATTTCATTATTCAGTGCAATAACGCACCAGGCAGTGCATTAGTGATTTTCATTCTTTTCCGAGCGTTTTTGTCTCATTGCGTTGTGTGACAGATCTGTAGACTGTAGTCAGTAACTACTGGTGTGATAGGAGTGAGATCTTGGTTATGTCTGTACAAGACAACTACATGGATGTGAAGAGTGAACAGTTTTAGTAATTGCAGTAATGGCTGTCAGTAGGGGCAAGGTTGGAGAGAGTCCTTTCTGGATAACCAGGAATTTATTAAGGTTTATCTTCGAGGTTCTTCTCCTTGAGATCAATCCATATCTTGTGTGTGGTTCAACCATAGTGTAGTTTGCTGTCGTAGCAGTTTCCGATTCTTCTATTTACTTTATTCTTTTTTCAACCTAAACCTAAGATGAAAGCTTTTATTCACGCTGTGAATGTAGTTGAAGAGATGTCAGTTTCGATTGTCAGATCCTACAATTTTGAATTCATTTTCTTCTGAGATTTTGGGAATTTCTGCTTATTGCTCCTGCTGTAACAGATTGATGGCCAAGACAGCAACATTTTTTCCCCACTTTGACAACCTAGGAAGTTGACTCAAGCCTGTGGTTTTTTAGACATTGCATCAAACTAGGCCTAGAGGGTTGCACCATTATCATTTAGATAACATCCATTGGTATTGGAGGGATTTGAACCTGGGACCTGAAGTCCTGCGTTCTACCGACCAGCTCCCTAGACCAGAGTTGTATAGCGTCTATGGTTTGTATTTAATTTTTGATTTATTTAAGAGATAAGTCTGGCTTGGACCACCATCTGATGATCTGATGTAGATGGTTACTCCTAATCTCATTTTTTTCAGGTACAGTTCCGCAGAGAACCTGTGATATATTATCAGTTTATAACAATATATCGATGCAATTTTGTTATGTAAACATCAAATTTAGTTATGATCTGTTTACATTTATATTGTTATTTAGGTGTTTAAACTATCAATATTCAACCAAAAACTAAATATGTATGATGAAAGTTAAGAAAACAAACAATAACTAAAACTTACAATTAGCACACATAATAAAAAAATTTATAGTTTTTTCAATTTTTTTGTCTTACGAATTTAAAATAAAACTAAGGATAAAATAAAGAAACAACATTATAAATGTTATTGTTTTTATTTATATCATATGGTAAAATTAAATTCAATGTGATATTTATATCAAACCGAATCATAATCAGTATAAGTTTTAATCCTATAATATATTCTCAACGGAGCTGTAGCCTTTTTTCCTCCTGTTTATTGATTGTTCTCCTTTTCTCTATCGAACTCCTTTAAAGTTTTTTCCAGGGTTTTATTGAAATTGTCTCTCACATTTCACTTTGTTGTTTATTACATGTTAGAGTTAATTTATCTTGAAGATTAGACTTAGATTTTTACTTAGGTATTCTTGTTTTTCGCAACAAAGCAACATATGTTCTTGATTTATTTCAGTTTAGAAGATAGTCCAGAGTTTTTAGTTATGACTTGCAGTTTGTGTACTTATGTAGCTAGAATCTCAGCAATTAGTTTGAGGAATGTATCTAGATCACTTTCAACGGCATGAAAGTAGAGCTGTTACTAAAACATTATGAGGTTCATGTTGGAATGGTTTATGTTTGTCAATCAACTACTATGTTTGCTGCTGTGAAGAGTGCGTGAGTTACATTTCCACTCATTTATTTCATTTTAGCAAATTTCCCATAATGGGAATAAGCTATTGTGGGTCTCATGGTGTAAGACATAGACACGGGACCTATTTACTTTACTTTTTCACGGGACCGTTCGAAAGTTCATTTATATATACATTTATATATTTACTATAGAAATTATTTTTGCATACAGTCTACTCTTGGTAATTCCAATAATGTACAAATAATAATTTATGAGTGTTTAAAAATAAACTATATATAAATTAACCAATTCGCAAAACATGTTTGAAATTAAACTTAACACCAAACATTAAATACACAAAATTGTGCACATGGACCTAAATGTCACTAAGTTATATCTTCTAAAATTATCACAACCATATGTTGTCATGTAAAATCTTCTTTGTGCCTACGCAGTGTCTAGTGGTGATAACGTCAAATGCTGCACAAGCAGTTTCTGTTACAGAGAATTCAAACAACTCAATCAGCAGGTATATTACCTTATACCAGGTATAAATTCTTAAAGGTTTTCTTCCTTATGTGCTTAAAGAATAGTTATTATTCACATATTTAAAAATAATATCAACATTTAATAAAATCATCTTTATTGTATTTCCATTGAACAGAGTCAAACCACACAGAGAACTAATGTTCTCTTAAGCAAAATATCATAAATGTTGCAAATAGAACAAACAATAGTCTCCATAGTGTTGTAAAATTTCAATTTAGGCTAAAGAAGACAATAATGCATATTACATTAATTCTTAAATTAAAAAATGGTAAATTCCTTGTTTACGGACGTATAGGATTTTTAAGTAATATTCTCATGAGATTGTGCAGAATTACATCTAGATCACCAATGTAATGTTTTTTTTCCCGCTCTTAAAGGAAAATACGTTTTTCAACTTTTTTGTAATAGATTTCATGTTCACATTTGCCATGTTTGACAGATGGAACTGTTTACATTTGCGCTGTTTGACTGATAGAACTACAAAGTGCACTCTAGTGGATACAACCAACCGGAATGGTCAAGGATGTTCCAATTATTAAATTACCTTCTCATTTATAGCTCAACACATTTACCTCAACATATTAGGATTCCAATATATATATTATTCTTCTGACATTAAAAATTTATAAATTATGCATTTACATATCTCATTTATCTTTTACAACGAATGATAGAAAATCCCACCAGTTGTGAGGTGCGGTTAGGCAATATAGTTTTTGTTGGCAAAAATTTAAAACCGATAGACATTTATCGCCAGTTAACAGAAAAAACTTAATTACGGAAACAACGTAATGAATAAAAGTTCTGTGAGAATATGGTGTATTGGCCGAACTGGCATTCATGAGTCATAACGAAGTGAAGAGCGGACGCCCGGGCATTGTGACTGATGGAACTGGTCGCTTAAGTTGATGAAAACGCTTAAGTTGTGAAAACCGCCAACTCAGGACAACGGAGTTTTCACTAGCCGTATAAAACTTTATCACCAACCCACACGAGCCCTAGCATATGCTTACGCGGTCTTATACAGGTTCGAACACCCGTCCAAGGCCCTACCGTGAGTTTTATGATTATATAAAGTAAGGGTTAATTGCTAAATAAATGCCTTGAATAATAATAAACACTATTAAGAAAATCGGCGAATTACCTGTATACTCCAGGGATCTTCACTACCCACTTAGCACTACGTAAAATCACGCTAACGGCAAAATCACTGACAAACAGCAAGTCTCGTCCTAACGCAAGTAATCGCAGGATTAGAAAGTCCCTCGCATCCCTAGCCCCCCTTTGAGGGATCTCCTTTCCTCCCCCCTCTCTATTGTCTAGGGATGGGGAATCAGCTAATTCATTCCCAGCTGATCGATGACGTCACGAGTTACAAACTTGGCCCTGTCACGGTTCACAACGCCAGGGCAGCCGACTATTGGTACAGGTTATGTTGATATTTACCTGCGCTGACTGTGAAATTATATGGGGGAACTTTAATATCGTCGCTGATTTTAACAAAACGAATAATTTCCACCCGTAATGTGTCACTTAGTGTTGGACAAAGTATATGCATGTTATGTACGTGATATTGTATTCATGATCGCAGTTCACCACCCTAGCCTAATCAACAACTTTGACCATACTTCCCAAAGGTTCATAATAGGCGTGGGGGTTAAATGAAAACAGTTCATACCCTGTTTTGTACACAACAATGCTATTCCGTGACTTGTGTACTTCCAAAACAGTGACTTGTGTACTTCCAAAACAGTGTCTTTAATGATTTTGCCAAAAGTGAGTTATCCCTACTTCAACTCTAGGATAGGCCTAAGACAGTCTATTATTTCCCTTACCAAGGTAGGTTTACCACTATCCCCTCAGGTAAGGAATAGGCCTACTGATAGAGAAATAATAAATAATAATACCCCCGCCACAGCAAACCAGCAGACTTAGGCCTAGCGAATTGTTTATTAAGTCCCGCGCTCTACCACTACACCAGTTCTCTCCCCATGAATTTAAGATTGGAATAGAAGAAGTTTAACTTAGGTAATGGTATGCCCTTTTTCAAAATATACTTTCTTGTGATTTGTTATTTTATTTAGTTATGTTTACTTTTCAGACATACCCTGTACCTGATATTACATGGAGATTGGGGCAAGCATAATGCTGCTAGGAAGCACATGACAGTCATATTCAACAGGTTTGAGAATATAGCAAAACGAAAAAACTTGCTCCAAGTTGCAGCGAGTATAAGATGTCTTGTAAATCTGCTCTCAAACCCATGGACGAATCCCACCATCACCAAGATAATGAATGGTGAACCATGCTCTGACGAAGAAGGTATTTATTGAAATTTACTAGTATTAGTCATGATAGATTGGTGGATTGCTCGTTTCGTGCTGTCAATAATGGAGAAGAACATCAGGTTAGAATGTCTAGCTATTAATTAAAACTCATGTTGGAGTTTGTAAAAATGTGTGTAGTTGTAGTGCATTAAACCTACCAGAAACTAAATAAATACGAGATGCGGTGCTGGTGGAAGGTAAGTTGTGGTCCCGTGTCTGCAGCATTGACCAATTTCCCAGTGATCTCCTTATTTGGACCTTTTCTTGTCTGAAGTCCATAGAGACACATAATATATACAACCACTTTTGTGTTGCATATATTATGTGCTTACATTATGTGTCTCTATGGACTTATTTAAAGGTAAGCCTACTTTTCTGTCAAATTCCTTTATTATTCCTGGCAAATGCACTATCTTTTAACCAGATAATTCATTGAATGTTTGAGTGCACAGATATAGTTATTATCATTTATGAATGAATAAATCCTACATGCAAGTTCTCAAAATAGCCTTTTGAATAGTTAAATTAATGTTCCCAGTTAATTATAAATTACTTTCTTTTTATTCATTGTGTATCTCAACTTGGTCTGAAATCTGAATTATTAGATTGGCAGCTTTGACTATTTGATGCTTGTGGTGACATTGCTGTGGTGTGTTCGGCTTGTTGCTCAATTTGTCTCCTAGGTCCTTTAATACACTTGTCGATAACGCTGTTATTTAACTTGTACCCAGCCAAAGCCCTGGTACAAATAAAAAACCGGTATTCCTAGCTGCAAAATTTATCAGCCGAATAGGACTGCGGGATTGTAAATGTTGCACAAGTTTTCTAGTGCCTGAGTTTTTCCAGCAAGGCCATTTTCTAAAACTGTGATATTCAATTGCTTGGTTTTGGTTGTCTACTGTCTTGTTGTACTGCCAGTCACAATGTCTATGATAATTAAATAAAAATAGCCCCACCGCAGCGAACCTGCAGACCTAGCTGGGTTTCCACTAAAATATTCACTAAAATATTGTAAGATTTTATTTCCTATTTAAATAAAATTACTTATAACGAGTACCTAGGTTTGCTGCCACAGGGAAGATAATGTTTGTTTTTTTAATTGAAACATTGATGGCTTAGTATGAAATAAACAAATTTGCCAAATTTCATCAAAATATATCCACAAAGAAGCTAAATAAAACAGTGTATTTATGCTCCATAAGAATAACATGGAAATTTAAAAACACCTTTTTGGAATTTTCTCTGTTATTGTTAGGCATACATCAACATTTATATACTAAATTATTAATTTTTTAAGCTATACAAAATGGACAATTGTATGGTAAATTTCATGTTTTTAGAATAAAAAATGGGAAAAACCAATTTTTACCCCATTAAACCCCATATAAACCCCCATTCTCATAGTCCTATCGCAAACTCATTGGAATTAATGTAGATTTACACATTTAAAAAAGAGTTAATCGGGTCCAGGTCTTGTCATGAGACCAACTATAAAGTAAGGGATGTTTTCGTAACATTTTAGTAATGGAAACAAAATTTTAAACTATCGAACAGTCATCTGGCGATGAATGTCAGCATCGGATATGTTTCATGTTGTCAACGTATCACTGACCTTATCTCTCAAGCAGTGGGAGATTCGATAGTCACAAATTTTTAAAAACACACAGGGAAGCATACTTAGTAGCTACAGAGCTGCAATTGGTGTCATTCTGTTCATAAATGATGCCAGTAAGTGGGGTAGGGCCTCGTTGCGGCGTACAACTGTACCACGCATTCATACACCAAAACCGCCCTCGTATATCCACATAAAAGGAAGAACGTGTTTTTAAACTGTTATATACCAAACACTTGTTGGATGACAAAACAAAACTCAAACCACATTAGTCAGTATTATGTGATTTTTTACTTTTGTAACTCAACTATATTTTACTTGTTATTAGGGCTCAGTTTAACTGTGCAGTTTTTCCCTTGCAATTGTTTAATTTACCTTATTTTGTTTCAGTATTAAAACTGATAAAAGCAGAGATGGGGATAGTTCTGATTGTCCGCTTAGAGATAATGGCTGAGGCACGATGCAATGCTCAAGCACTTGCTCTCATCGAAGTGTGTCTGGATTGTGTCGCACGACCAGACAACAGTCAGTACTTTGAGCAGTATTCGGATGAAATCATCTTCATTAGAGACATCTATCTTATTCTTCTCGTTAGAGCCAAGAACAACACCAAGGTTCTCAATGAGGTAAGAATCTTAACACTTGAGACATTCACGTCTGTCCGTTCCACTCGTATGTCGCGGCCGCTGCAACATTTTCCGCATCTGCTTTTTATTAATTAATCTCTTTCATGTAGTATTTGCATGTTTTTAACTTGTGTTGTATACATACTAAACTATTTCCTCATTCATTTTACATGTCTTTGGTAGCACAAAAAGTATTTGAATTAATTTTTACTGTGGAGTAAAGACTAAAGAAGTGACAATAGTAACCATGACGTGACGACTAAAATAAAAAAAAGAAAATTTTAAAAATGCATTTTTTTTAAATATATACGTAACCCTTCTTGGCTGTTTTGAATTGTCAACTAGATAACTCATGTTGATAAAGTGTTTTACAAATTCTGAAAATGTGTTTACTTTTTTTTAAAGCACCCCAAAAAATATTTTGTAGGCTATAGTTTACTTTGTTTTTTTTCCAAATTGTGACTATACAAAAATTTATGGTTAGCCTATATTTATTTTGATTTTATGTTTTACTTGTGTTCAATGTTATGCTGAATAAGAATCAAGCCCTCAAGTACAACAAATAATTTATTTTAGTCACTCACTACTATATGTCAAGCCCCTTCCAAAAGTAATCATTAATACTACAGTTGAACCTCTATAAGACGAATTTCAAGGGGTACGGGAAAAATTCGTACTATAGAGGTATTCTTAATAAAGAGGGTCGTTTTATCGAGGTTTAATGCTGCTGTTATTCTTCTTATAGAGGTTTCTCCTCGCTCCAAGGTTTCTCCAAACAATGACTGAGGAAGGAGGAGGGATGGGTGGGGGTTTCATGTTGAGACAAGCTTCTGTTTGTTTTGAAAACTACGTACTATGGAGGTTAAGATTATGATAAATTCGTCTTATAGAGGTCACGTTCGTCTTGTAGAGGTTTTGTGCTATGAATATTCGTTGTATAGAGGTAAATCAGTCCTAGGCCATGTCACAAACAAATTCGTCTTATGGAGGTTTTTAACTTAATTACTACGTTGTATAGAGGTGTTTTTAGCATTGACCTATATGAAAGTGTCAAGGGGATTTAAAAAAATTCGTCTTATCGAGGAATTCGTTTTATCGAGGTTCGTACAAACGAGGTTCAACTGTATCATAAATTAATATTTTCGCTTGTTTGTTATTTTTGAGTTATGAGTAATAAATTAATCACTGGTTCAGATACTATTACCTATAGTCACATGTTTTATTTTATTTTTTATTTCGTTACATATACAACTGTAAAGATAAACAGGTCACATTTTAATTTATTTTTTCTTTGGTTAGAACATATATACCCCTGGTTAAAAACTTATAATTGCAACAAATGTGACGTGCACTTATGCCTGAACCACAGAAGGAATTGGTTTGCTTGTAGGCTTCCATTGCACAGGAAATGAGGTGGTAAAACAAGAGTACACGATTAATCACTTATGATACTGAAAATAGTAACTTAGAGACTGAAATAAAGACTGTTTATTTTATATATAATCTTAAAGAAGATTTATTCATTACATTGTCTTTTCTTACTGTCCCAATAATGATTTTGTTACTCGCAGTTATCCCATAACAGCCCAATGAGTAATATATATATATTTTTTGAAGAAGGTTTCTGTGGTTGAAAAATATTGAATCTACTAAAAGATAAAATTTAAAATTATAAAATACAGCAGAGTGTCAATAACAAGTCTCCTATAGTGATTATTAAATAAGGTTTCTTACCAAGGTTTGCCATATCATATAATAAATTCAAGGGTATTTGAAAATAACACTAGTTTTCGAATATTATTGGGGTTCGATTGTAACCTTATTGTCCTTATAGAGATTTAGAAACAGATATTTCAAACTAAAATTGAAGCCTACAAACAATTTTTAAAAATAAAAATGAACATGTTACTGAATCACATAAATATGTTTTTAATAAAATGTTCGTGGTAGTAATACCTTCTAAACAAAGCTACTGTATATGAACTTTAAAAAAGGGCAAATGTGCCACTAAAAGCTGATCATTATTAGCTAAATAAACAATTGCGCAATTATTATTTAATACCTATCACTCAAAATAAATTTAGTGTGCTAGTTACAAAATTATATTTGCTATAAATGTATACTAGATTTCTTTGTACACCGGTTTATTAACATTGTATCCAGTATATATATATTTTTTAAATGTAACAAAAATTATAAGATTTAGGTGTTATGCATCCCTAATGACATATTAAAAACATGTACTTCATTAAAAGAAGCAAGTTTTCCTAACACAACTATTTGAACTACTCTGACAAGATTCCAAAACAAGTACTGCTCACAAGTGCTGGTTGCAAACAGTAGGTACATCTGTTCCATAAGAATTGATTTCACCTTCACCATATTTTTTTGTTTGTTTGTAAGGTGTGTTTGCTTGTATAAAAGTTAACATAAGCACTTTGATCCTGTGATCATTGTTTGTATTACTTTGATATTTTTAGTTTTAGCTTGTAATAAATGTGTATGTTTCATTTTAGGTGAACAAGATGTGTTTAAGTGAAGGATTGAAGTTAGTTCGTCGTTGTTCAAAGGAAGAAAGAGTTGTACGCCTGCGTAAAAGCTATAAAAAAATGGCCGACATAGTGGCAAATATTGTTTTGGCATCTGCTATGATCAAACCTGTGGTGGATGAAGAAGCACTTCGCGACTTGATCCAAGAATGGTACAACCTCTACCCTAATACACAAGTTTTGTTGGGACTCCTGAGGAAGATGATTGGCAATGCTGTTTCTTCTAAACACATCTACCTCCTCGGCGAGATATTTGTTGAAAAGGTAAGATAAAAAATATTATGTCGACTATTAAGTGTTAAGGAAATTTTCCAATTTTCCCATGAAGGAAGGTTTCTCAGGGTTGAATTACCCTGAGAAACCATAAAAATATTCAAAAAAGCGGTCCAGCACAATTTTGAGGTTAGGTTCCTTCCACAATGCAACATTCATGTAACATTCATTAATGTTATTCTATTGCATGTCATTAGATCCAAGCCTAAACCCCACACTACAATAAATTTGGTACCGCCCCTACCACCAATAAAATATTCTGATGAGAAAACAAATTATACCAGATTGAAGTTTACTTATAACACAGTATATCGAGTTAAGACAAATTTATAAGGGTCTGAACTAGTGATGTGTCGAATCCGAATCTTGAATCCATCGAATCTTTAGGAAATATTCGGATTTGAGATTCGGTCAACAAGATTCGACTTTTCGAATCCTTTGAACTTCTGCCCGAAAATGAATCGGTATTAGTCAAAACATCCGCCGATCTTCGAGTCACAGTCGTTTGCCCGTGCAATTGCGTAAATATTTTGCAAACAGCAAACTATTTGTGGTGAACGAAAACATAAGATTTTAAATGTCCACTTTTTCAATGTTAAAATTTAAGATAAGATCTAATAATTTAAGTCTCAGCTTTTGTCTTGTCATCTTTAATAATAAAAAAACAATTGAATATATTACGAATGTTTACTACATTACGATTTACTTTAAAAATAATCATGTAATAAAACATCATACAAAAGAAGTACACTTGGCAACCATGCATCACAACTGGAAAACCTGAAAAATAATTGTGAATTGTTTTCCTGGAATTTTGTAATCACCCTGCTGGTGGGTCTAGAACTAATACTGTTTTTAAGCTATCTTGACAATGATAGTTATTTTACAGGTGTATTAAGATTACAGCAGAGAGTGGCTTGTACTAATTTATTAATTTGGGACGGGATGTTCGAATAATTTATTTGTTGGTTTATTGGTTACGTATAGCATAAATGAGTTACAACATTTTTAATTTGATTAATTGAAAAATATTTAACACATTTAAAAATTGTTTATATATTTACAAGTATTTTGAATTCGTTTTCCTATGTAAACTCCCGTCATCACTGTTCAGCAAACATTCAAATATTGTGTTGGTTACTCAGTTCTTTGTAATTTCAGATATTGTTCTATTTCCAACACCATAGCTCAAGTTTATCAGAAATACCAAGCATTACATGTTTATATTCAACACAACAGAATTGTTGAATATTTAGCAAACTGTCACTGACAAGTGCCCACAGGCAGATGTAATATGATTCAAAATATCTGGTTTTAACTGTCACTATCTAATGCACAAAGAAAGTGTTTATAGTAACAGCAAACTTGTAAAACCACGTGTTTTTAATCTCTCCAACATACAGGTACAGCAGTTTTATTATCATGATTTGTTACAAACAAGATGTTTTCTTTATGTTTCAGTATGGTCAGTTCGAGAAGGCTTTTTGCATTGAGTTGTATATTCGAGCTCTCACTGTCAACCTAAATGAGCTTGAAAAGTACAAATCAAACAGCGAGCAAGAAAAAGTCAAAGAGTCTGAAGTTCAGTTATCACATGGATTTTTGTTGTTGGCTGATTATCTGAGAGATGACATTTTGACTTGTCGTGAATGTATTTTGACCGCTTTCTCTCTGAATCCAACAACATGTTGCTACCAAAGGATCAATGACCTAGCAGTGGCTAGTGGCAAAGTAAGCAGTGAAATCGACGACAATTGTGAAAACAACCAGTCGTCAATAAACTGCAAAAAAAGTTCTCTAGAAAATCATGATCCTGGAATGAAAATAGACACAGGCCAGCCAAATGAAACCGAGTCGTTGAATCACGAGGCTGAAACAAGAGAAAAGCAAACAAAGATAGTGGAAACTGACTCAATTGCTGACGGTGGGAAGACTGAGGAATCAACTTCGCCAATACACATTTCTGATGCACAAAAAATGGGTATATCCCAAAGACTGTATGACGACTTAACAACAGTTATTGGAAGTGCTCGATACCAAGTTCTAAACTGGCACCTTGATTGGTCAGAACTAAGCTCCAGATGTGATTCTTACATCATTTCAGAAAAAGAACATAGAAGTACAGAAAAAGAACTCAAATATCTCAATATCGACTACAACCAATTCAAGGATTGGCCAAGAGACAAAATGTATGATACTGGAATTGAAAAAGGGTTTGAAGGGTTTGTTGAAACAGACTCAGAAGAAGAATTAACGGATACATCATCTGACCCTCCTAAAACAAAACAGTCAAAGCGTAATCTGGAGGAGGATTCTTTGGATTCCATGGAAAACCCGATGGAAAAACCAGTTAAGACCATAAAAACTTCACTTAACACTAATTTAAATGATGAATTTCTCCCCAAATCCACAAAGAAACAAGAAAGAAGTAAGAGGAAAGCTTTAGCTTTAGTTTACGATAGTGATGCAGCTGTTCAAGATGTACAATCAAGTTATTTAAATGAAAACGTTGAATCTAAATTAGCCAAGAACAATGCTAGAAAAAACAAAATTCAGAAAAATGTTCAAAAAACCCGTTCTTTGTTAAAGAAAAACAAATCAGGGTTTGAAACGATATCCACCCCAGTTGTACATTTTCCTCAATATGGTCCTCCAGATTTATTAGACATTGTCAGTATTGAAGAAGATGCCACTAGAGTAAGTGTTTCTCCTTTGATATCAACTGAAGAATATTTGTCACTGTGTAAAAAGAGCAAAGAAACAAGTAAGAATCAAGAAATGACTTCAAACAAGACAACAGATTATTCTGTTCGGAAACACAACACAGTTCAAACAGTTAAAAATAACAATCTTAATGCTGATATTTCCAAGGCAAAACAAAGCTATACTTTGGCAGATGGTGCAAGAAAAATCTTTTCTCCATTAATACAACTAGACGACTGTATTTCACCATTAAAAATAAACAATGAAGCTCACAGGATCCTTGAAACCACTTCTAACATGCCTCAAGATAATCCAACAATTAATAACTCTACTCAAACTGGGGATCAAAAAATAATCACTGCAACAAAAGAAAAACCAAACTACTGTATAGCAGAGAATGACTTGACCATTAACTCTACATTGTCTCCATTTAGCAGTCCATCTAAGTCGAGTGACCCTACAGTATTAAAATCTCTACGAATGTACCGTTCAAAGAAAACCGGCCCAGATAGTGGGAATGGGTCTCCTGAAAAACCACAAGAAAGATGCAGTAGATTTTCACCTATGTTAAGCACAGTCGACCTACACCCCCGAATTCTAAGCAGATCAAAAAAGAGTGGTAACCCTGAAGTCATAAATATTGATGTTAATTCAAAAAGTTGTAAAACAGAAATCATTAGTCTTGATGATAGCGAACCCGAAATAATTGATCTAGTGATTTCTGATGATGAAGAAGAAGATTGCAGGAAATGTGTTATGAATTCAATAAATTCATCCTCATTCCCAACTAAAGTTCCCCATGAAATTACTAACAAAATGAAATTGACTTTTGACAGTGTTTTGAAATCAAAATCGGCCAATAGAAAAAGTGCATTCTCAAAACCTAATTCAATCAACGATCTCGCTCGAAATCTTGGTTTGAAATCAGTGGATATGATAAGGCCAGCAACCACAGAAACTACAGTTCAGGTCGTCCAGTTGTCTAGTTCTGTTCGGTCCTTGGTTACATCTAACAGTAACACAAATCCCAACACGACTATTGTACAATCTGTTGCACAGCAAACATCATCATCGTTGGGTCAAGTATCGAGTACTAACTCAACCTCAAATATAGCAACAATAATTTATACAATGCCCCAACAATCAACCTCGGTGTCATTTCCTGCAATTTCTAACAGTACATTAGTGTCCAACTCAAACATCTTGTACACTATGCCTCCTCAATCTTCTACTGCCACTCAAGTAAGGAGCACAACATCATTGACTAGTGACACTTCTTCGAAACCGACAGTAACTAACAGTACGATTGGTCCTAGTCGAATCCTGAGTTCTACGGGGTCTCAAGCAAGCATCAACAATGCTCCATTAACTTTTACATCTATGAGTACGCCCGTTAGACACTTTTACAGTTCAGCAAGGCAAATATTTCCTCAGAATCAAGCAATTTATGGAGCTAGACAAAGTCCAGATAGAAATTTACTGAGCCCAGTTCTCACCAACCAGCCATCTTCGATGAACATTCGCAGAAATACTCCTTCACCCCGTGAAACAGTGGTAGCCAACACTGAAACTACAAATGTACCGATAAATGTAATTAGGGTAGAACGAATTTCACTTGTTCCATCTTCTGAGTCGAATCAGCCAATGCCGAACCTGTCTCCAATCAAAAGTTCTACCAATTCCAGACCACAAGCAAGTTGTGTTAGTAGACAACAGTTATTCATGCGTAATACTGTAGCCAGAGTAACCACTAACACATCAACCCAGTCTCACCCTGTTGTAACATCATCTAGAGGACAAACAACTCTTCCTTCAACCATTACAACTTCAACTCTTACCACCAGTAGAAGTATGCCAGTTACTGCTCACATCCAGCGAGTGGGATACCCACCAGAGACTTCACATAGTAGTGCTGGAGTACAATTAAAATACATTTTTAAGGAGGGAGTGTTGAGCACAACAAATGAAAAGCAAATAGAAGAAAGTGAAGCCGATTCAAATAGTGTCGCGATGGTTTTGAGTTCAGAACAAATCCAACAGTTGTTACCAAAATCCACGTTGCAAGAAAAAACAAGTGATCAGGAAGATAATCGCAACCAAGGAGCCAGTTTACCAAAATTCCAACAAGCTTTTGGAAGAACTATGTATCAAAACCCCTCAGCCTCTGGAGGTAGTACCTCAAATAGTGATACACCTGCACTGAATTTTGTTCAACAAATTCAACCTTCAAATTCTAACTCTGATACAACTTCTTCGATTTGCACTGTACTATCCAAAGCAGTGCAAACCACAACTAAGGAATCAGAAGTGGTTAATAAAGGTTTTCTTCAGTCCAACAATATAAATGAACATTCAAATCAGCGCAAATTGACATTAACTGGTAGTACTTCAACATCTACAACTGTTCAGACTGTTGCTGTAAGTACAGCTACAACTCCAATTGAAACTCAACAGACACCATCAAATTCACAAACTAAAATAAGATCTAATGAAAGATCTACTCTTCTACAACAGACTCCAGTTAAAATTTTAACACTGGCTGGAACAAATTTACTCCAAGGTAAATCAGTTGCGATTCTGAAAACAGCTGTGTCTCAAGAAAAACTTAATCAAGCTCAAGTAAAATATGAAGGTGATAGTAGGTCGAAGGAAACAGTAATTCGCAGCAATATGACCAATATGAGTGCTTTGTTAGCTGCTGCTTTACAACAACAGCCCCAATTAAGACAGGTTACCTCTGGAATTAATAACCCAGGAGTATCAACACAAGTTCACTTGAAAACCTCTCAAGATGTTGAGAAGAAGAAACTAGAACAAATTAATTCCAAAAGTCAGCCTCAAAAGAGTATCCGCAAAATACCTATACAGAATCAATCCACGTCGAGATATAAACCACTTTTGCAAGTATCAAATGCAGGAGGTAATCAAAATGTGTCCTCCTCTACTCCTGTAGTGACTATACCTATAAGAACAGTTTTAGCTACGGGCCAACAAAATTCAACTTCTACTCGTCTCAGCACTGAAAGAGTTGAAGTCAGATCAGAAAATTTAGTGAGCCCTTCTCCTCCTGACGATCCATCAGGAAGCTCCTTATTAGACCAACAGTTGAAAGAGTTTGAATCAGTGTTCAATAAAGTTAAAAAGACATCACAGATGAAAGAAAGAACAAACTCTACCACCGTTCAAATTCAACCCCATTTGAGTCTTGGACAGCAGATACTTCTTACTCAGCCTTCGAGTTCATCAAATGTAGAATTTACTAGTACAAGTACAAATCAAACAGCCCTCTTTCAGTCAACCTCTACAAGTACAATACATGACCTCCAAGGTGAAAGAGTTAGTTTAACATTTATCAGTCAGCCAGCTACAGGTGCTACAAACACTTTGATTCCTGGAGCAAGTCAAAAAATCACTTCTGCCACTCCAGTAGTAGTTGTTCAAAGTTGTAGTAAACCTGTAACATCTCCTGCCCTCAGTGTAACATCTCAAAGTTCTTCCAGTCCAGCGCCCCCTTCTACCCCTGGCAGCTCATCAGGAAAGATAAGCACAACTGCTATTGTGAAACAAAACAAGTCCAACAAGGCAAAAACTGCCACCAAAACAGCTCCTACGACTACTTTGAAAGTATCAACACTGCCAAAACCACAACAGAAACCCCAAGAGGATGAACAAACGACTCAGAGAATATACGCTATTCTAGATAAGTATGCTGAACAGTTGCGTAATTCTCCTGAACTCAAGAACAAACCAGCGCCAAGAAGAAGATCTAATCCTCCTACAAATCCTAACCAAAATTCAAAAAGGAAGAAGTCAACCCAAACAAAATCTAAATTACCTTCTCAACAAGCTTCATGTTCTTCTTCTGCAATGGAAATGAGCCCTGGATCTGAGGATATGAGAACTATTGGAAGTGAAGATAGCTCTAACGGAGTAAGCCAACTTTCTCAAACCCTTAATTCACCCCAAAGTAGGCAAGACGACCCCTCAACTCCCACCGGAGATGTTTCTTCAGAAACATCAGAATCCTTGGATTCTCGGGACACACGTATACAATCAAGGGTTGTTTTAGCAGAAACATCAACTGGTCAAAGTAGGACAGTTATAGTTCAAGACAATGTGCCTACTCAAGTACTCAATGTAGATGCATCAAAGCTTCTTCCCGGTAAGCCAGTAGTTGTTGCATCTCAAGCTATTGTACCCCAACTAGTTTTACCCACTAATGTAGGAGGTGTACAAAAAATGCAACTATTTCCAGTACCTGCAGACGGACGACAGTTTGTTACAAAGTTTGTCACAAAACTTCCTAAGGCGTACAGAGTCCATCAACTGACTGTGCCAAGAGGTGCTCCATCCCTTCTCGCTCCAGGTGCAGTTGTTCGAATACCACGTCCCTCATCAGCTGTAAAACAAGTAAAACTACCTGTCAGCGGAATAACAACACAAAACCTGAGCAACGTGTTAACACCTGGGAGCCACACTTTCACTGTAACTCACGATACAGGCATAGACATAAATTTAGATAATGCCATTTTGTTAAATTCAACACCGCAACAGTCAATAAGTTTTGTGCACCGTAGTGTTCCTTCGTCGTCCTACCAAAGTCAAGATAGTCCAGTTGGAACTACTGCTACTGTAACTAGTTCTCCCTCCATCCAGAATACTACAGTGGCCTATTCTACAGCAGATGTAAATGTGGGGTTTATAAAACATGAATCTGGAAATACTTTACCAATATGCTCCCAAATGAATGTAATACCAGCATCGTCATCTCAGGAGACAAAACCCACAACATCCAATGTAACCTGTATCACTCTGGATGATGATATTGAATATTCCTCTACTGATCGTAGATCTACAGATGTGTCATCTTTGGTGATCACTCAAGCAAGTGGTGAGAACAAATTGTGGAGAACTTCAGACTCTAGTAAACAATTAGCCTCTGTCAAGAAAAGGGATACAGGAGATTTTGCAGGATTTCAACCTACCAAAGCTGCATTGGGACACAGGAGTTCGAGCACTTCAAGCTTTTTGACGGAGCAAGATCACTGTCTTGACAGCAAAAGTAAGTTTTTTTTTCTTCTGTGATCCTTAAAATTTACATAATACATCATTTGGCATTTAATATAAATCTTTTATAAGGAAAATGTTAATACAATTAATATACAGTGTGTCCTGCAAGTAAACAGTCAAACTTCGGGAAATTGTTCTTCAGGTCAAAATAAAGAGAAAATCAAGAATTATTTTTTTCTAAAATCATATTTTTAATAAGATATCCGCCATTTTGTATTTTTAGATAAACATTTGTATCATTTTGTTCTAAACAATCTTTATGATACTTGGTACGGTATTTATGTTAAGGTAGAAGAAACCCATGTTATAAAAAAAGTAACTTAGTCCACTTCAAAATGGCTGCCATTTTGGAATTTTGGATTGGACCAAGTTAAAACCCTTTGTATATATCCTAATTCTAATTAGCTATGGACCTAATAAGGTAATATGTAGCACATTTTTGTAATCTTTCTAGACCAATGTTTTGCTTAAAACTATTGCTTATAAGGAAAAAAATTAGATTTATTTATCTGTAAATAGATACATTTTAAACTTTGGTGTGCAAGGGCCATCCAGTAGGTAGCAGACGTTTTGTATTGGTGCTTCTTGGGGCTGTTCTACCGCCACTATCTTAGTATCTAGAGCGTTCCACTTCTTACACTCAGTATGCATCTAGTTACGGGAGCGTGCACTTCATATCTCTTGTACTTAGTCTACAATAGAGTGTTAAAATGAGTGCAGTCTTTGCATTGTCCCGCCATTTGTGAGGTGGGCTCTATGATAAGATTTTTGTTTGCGAAAATGTACACACCAATTAAAAATTACAGGCAGGTTTGGGATTTTTACAGGAAAGAAGTAATGATTGAAGGCTGAGTGAGAAATCATACATTTGCTTTAAAATGGGTTAAAACTTGGTTTCCACTTTTTTTGTAGTCTTCCAGGAGTGTAAGTGCTGTTTTCGTGATCATCCTTTAAGATCTTTAGAACCCATGGGGAACAAAAACTGTGGTTATCATGATTTTTTGGCAACTTTATTAATGGAACTCTGTAAAACTTAAGAAAATGTTCAACGAATTCCATATTTGTTAAACTGTGATTTTCACAGATTTTGTTGCTGACTTTCCCAACCACTTCAACAGCAACTAGACTAGCCTAAAACTGTGGCCCTGTTGGTAAATATTTGTTTGGAAAAGTTTAAAAGCTCCACTGTCTTACACAGCCTTTATTCAACACTCCTTTGTTGTAAACATCACAAATCTAGTGTTAAAATTTTAAATTGCTTTTGATTGTTCAACAACAAAAAAACTGATAACAGAGCACACCTCACAACTGGTGGGATTTTCAATGACAGAGATAATGTGAATACCCCTCCCCCACTGCAGACAAAGTACATGAGATATGAGGATCAAGCTCCTGTAAGTTGGATGTGTACTGAATGTAGGAACGTTCTGATACTAAGTTGGTAGTGAGAGAACCGCCCCAAGAGACACCAATGCAAAACGTCTGTTACTTTCTGGACGGCCCTCGTACATTCAGAATCATTACATTTACTGTCATTAGTCGAATACAGATTGAAATTACATTCTCACAATACTTAATTAAAACTAATTAATCCACTGACAATGGGGTTGTATAAATCTTTGTTTTGAAAGTTAAATTTTTTAAATCAATGTAAAACTCATTAGCTTAGAAATTATAGTTGTAAAAAAGCAGATTTTTTTTGTGAATGAACTTTAATAAACAACATTTATTTTGTCGATTTAACTTGCACTTTGCCACAATTAACATAAAAATATTACTCTTCTAGGCAAAGTTTGTTTGTTTACTTTGACTTTCAGAATTAGGCTACTGTGTGATACTCATGTTTTCTAAGTTGAAGTGGTGCAGTTCTCAAAGTTTCTTCTTTAAATAGGGGGAGTGTAACTCGGTGTCACTGTTTTCCTTAAAATACAAAGTGTACAAATATCCTTTAAAAGAAAATAAAACAAATCAACATCATAGAAGTATAAAATGTTACCATTTTTGAGGCAATCTTTATAGTCAAAGTACCGTATTTAATACATTTTTTTTTTAATAAAGAATATCATAACATTTATACTACTAACTGTGACAGAAACATTTTGCTTAGTATTTAAATTTATTAAAAACAAAGTGGACATTGTATTACTACATCTCAATTCATTTTGGCACACTGTACTAAGTGAACAGATTTCATATTATAGGCAAAACAAAACTTTCCTTTAAATATAGTCTTCTATGTTTTGCCTTCTAGGTCACAAAGGCAACCTAAATAAAATATCATTCATATAAGTTTAGTCATGTAAACCGTGTTATCTTGCTAAAAGTAAACATTTATTTGGTTCACTTTACATACTAGTAGGAAAGATGTTAAATTGTCTTCAGCTGATCCATTATGATGAAAAAGAGAGTTTACTTTTACAGTTTGGTTGTAACCTTTTTTCTACAAGGGGTTCAACATGTATATCAGCACATGCCCAAACATCATCCTTTTTACCTGGAATATTCTATTGGTTACTATTTCTTAGGTTATGTTACTGTATGGTTTGTTTAAAAAACAACAGTTACTAACATCATGTACCATCATGTATCATACTATATACCAAGAGCCAAAAACAATGTTAGTTAGTTGAGATCAAGTTTATCGTAAACTTTTGTCTACAGTGTTTATTTTCATCTAATTTTTTTCAACACTTTTACTGAAACCACACTTAACACTTAAAATAAATTGTAAGCAATTTTAAAACCTTTCTAGCACACCTTGTTAGTGAATGGAATTGGTTTACAACGCAACAACAAATTACAGAATTTGATCATTTATGGTATTGTTTTGTTTACAGAAATGACAGAGAAGGACGTAAACATGGAGAACAACCATGACTTGGAAGTGAAGCCTGAGCGAGTGATGCAGGAACCAGAGCTTTGTGACGAGAGTGTATCTAGTGACAGTGCAGGAAGTGGCAGAGTCAAGATCAAAACTGAAGAGAAATCTCACTTGATTCCGGAGTCTAGTCAAGATGCAGGCTCTCCTTGGCCATACAACGTTACCAAGATCGAGTGCATTGTCAAGTCTGATTCCCCCAATACCTCGGTGAAACAAGGTGATCCAGGTAACCAGTCATTAACACTTGCTCATTCACAGGTGAATGTATATAAAAAGAAATCCAACAACTCTGAAAATACAATTTATCAAATGGCTTTCAAGAGAAGTGACAGGAGCAAAATCTCTAAAGAGCAGGTAGCTGCTTTGGAGAGAAATATTCAGTTGCAAAAGAGTTTGTCCGAAGAATGTGAGGACTTGGGAGTCGAAGAACCGAGCACTAATGATTTATTTCCTGAAGCTGAACTATTGCTAGATCCGGATCACTCTAGCCACGATAGTCAGTTAGATTTACCCTGTGAAACATTTTCACAGACGCTGAATTCATCATCGAGTAGTGATTCACGAGCAATGAGTCCTATGTTCCCAGTCACCAAACGACCGATGACTTACAAGGGCTCTCAGAAATCTCAATCACTCATAAATAAAAGTAACAGGTTCACTCCAATATTCAATCCTAATTATCAATTTACCGAAGAAAGTACTAGTGGTACTGTGTCTAGTACAAGACTTGATAGTCCTGACAACCAAATCATCAGTTACAAATTTCACAAAGGACAAACTAAACTCGGATCTAATTCTGACAGTAATTCCCCATTAATGACAAAATCTCATAGTCTTAAGGGTAATGATAGCCCTGTTGTATTGTTACAAAAAATTAGAGACCAGCATAAGTCAAGTTCTTCAGGGACAAGCACTCCTGTAAATGGAGGGGAATCCATGGCTTCTCCCAACAACGACGAATTGCCAAACAGTTACACTTCAGAAGAGACCCAATGTACACAAAAAACAAGTGATGATAATTGTAAAGATACAGAAGTGGAGACCGCCACTGACTCAGATTCTAACACAGATGTAGTTAATGTCTCTGCCAGTCAAGACAATAAGAGTTCTTTCATACCCATCCCCAATCCTGCAGCATCATCGCCTTTTACCTACGGAGGTAATAGGAGTAATCTAAAAATGTCGAGCAGAAAGGTTCATGTAAAACATGAAATTTGGAAAAGTATTTTGAGAGGAAACGATGGAAAAGAAGATGTGGATTCCGATATGTCAGATCCTGATCAAGTTAGAATCAGTGACAAACGGAGTACTTCGACTGATGAAGATCTTCAGTCTGAGGGAGAAACTCGAGCTAAAAACGGTTTAGGACCTGAAAGTGACGAAACACAATCAACTAGTGACAGAAACACAAGATCGGCGAAGAAAAGGAAAAGAGGCGGCCCATCAGTGAAACATACAACATCTAAAAGTAAAGTGCCAAAAAGAGTTGATTCCGAGAGTGTGGACGAAGTAATTCCCGATCTAGCTACTCCATCAAATATGTGTAAGAATGCAGCATCCCATCACGACAGCTCCAGCAGGAGATCATCCTTGCGTGGACATATAAAAAAAAATTGCCCATGTTGTAATGGGTCTACTGAGCGGCAAACCAAATCACCCCAGAAGTCAATAACTTTGTCATGTCCATCACCATCTACCATAGTCTTTACGCTGGGAAAGAAGAAATCCAGCAGTAAAAGTACAGTGAAGACCAGTCATATCACTAAAAAGAGATAGTCATATTTTCTGTCATGTCCCAGACTATTGTAATTATGTACATTTGTGTAAGATTGGAAAGTAGGGTATTGATTCTGTGCGTAAGAAAATATATGTTTTTTTGTACTTTGTTTATTTCAATGATCTAATATTATTGTAAGAAGGTATAACCAACAATACTTATTGACTAAGTGTAAAATTTTGTACATTGTTTGCGATGTATTTTTATTAACTTGGTACGATACCAAAGATCTCTCTATACCTTGTGCAAAATGAGCATAGAGGTATTATCTTAGTATTAGAATAGAAAATATTGTTTGTGTTAATAATAAAATATTTAAATATTGTCTAGTAGTTGCTGAAAATTTGTAGCGAGGTAGGTTTATTATTTGAAGTTTTGTTAAATCTCTACTATTATTTTAGATACAACTAAGGATAAAAAATATTTTTTCTACTTTCAAAATAGTATTTTGGTTATACTGAATTATTTGAACAGCGTCAGTTTCTCAAATAAATGTGTGTACTTACTAATCTCATAGAACCGCACAATTACGTGGACTTGGGACTCAATCTTACCAATTGCTGTGCCATGGTATTGTCAATATTTTTGCTTTGGTTTGCTGGTTGGAGGTAAATATGTGACGTGTTATTCTAAAATCATTACAATTTTAAATTTTTACTAGACAAAGTAAAGCGTATTAAGTTTTTTGACAAAAATTTGATTACCATCATCTGTCATAGCACAGTCGCTAAGTCTATACAAGTAGCCCAGTATTAACCCTCAGTGTATTTTGTGACAGATTCAGATGATTATTAACAAATGCAAATAAAAATACGTTCTTTAAAAATATCCATTGGTTATTTAAGATAAGATTTTTACTAAGGGCAAAAATATTATACTTCTCTAGCATTTTCAAATACAGGTTTCTGAATAAATCAGAAATATGTTCAGAGGTGCTTGCTGTTCAGCAAGCAAGAGAAACAATTATAGATAACATATTTTTGAAGTTCCTTAAGAAAGAGTTATTAAGCTAGAAGTCGGGACCGTTGAATTGTTTTGTAACCAGTGAGTGTCAGCTTAAAAGACTGTGATAGAGTTTGCATCCCAAGTCCACAGTCCAGGAAATATTAAATAACTGGTGTATTATGTACCAGCATAAAGTATATAGTAACATGAGAATAAGGCAGGCTCTGAGGTAAAAAATTTAATATTTTAATTTTAAAGTGCAATAGTTACAAATACTAAAAGTGGAGATAAGGTAACATTGAGTTGAGTACGATAGCTGGAACTATGTACCTATTTACATTTATTCTACCTATTTCTTTATTCGTCTATCAATTTTAATTTGTTTCTTTAACTTCCTTTATTTATTTCCTTTATTTGCATTTTGTGTTACTAGGATTATGTTATTAAGTAAAATTTACTAGAAGTACATCTATTAGCAGTTTACTTTATCTTATTACAAGTCGAACAACTACTTTGTCTGTCCTTTAGTTATAAGCTCTTGTTGAATGACTTATGTTTTGCTTTCTAAAAGCAACATTTTTTCAAGATTACAACTTTTTTTACAGTTATTATACAAAAAAGTGTTGATGGATAGATAGTATTATATATTTTGAAATACATTGTGTATTATAAGTATGTATTACTAAATTACATTCCAGAGAGTAAATTGTGTTTCTGAATCACGTTGAACGGAGATTTGTTTATTCAAAATACATTACAGGTAGGCCTTATACAACTATTTACTGTTCATTATAAACTTTTTTTGCGTGGCGCCATTATATTTTTGTTTGTGCTGGAATAAATATATTTGTTACTTCACTTTGTTTTTGTTTAATTTATTTCTCTTTTCTTTTTTAGTTATCTAACTTTCCACATGATTTTAATTTTATATTTTTTTCAAATTAAAGAAGAATTTGAAACATCTACAAGTGTTGTGTGTAAATTAAGGTCCAATCAAGCAACCAATCTCACTTCTAAGACTAACCTTACTATTCAAGCCAGTCCCCACCCCTATGGGGCGATTAGTCTTGTAACAGTATTCAAAAACGTGACATTGATAGGAGCTTGATTTACGCACACTCCTCGTACTTTTGTATTTGGTTGTACAAATGCCAGTTAGTTTTGCTTTTTAAGAAGACGGGGACAGGCCATATTTTGAGTGCTACAGACTCTCCTTGAATTTAAAAAGCTTTAATAGGAAATTCATCTTACATACTGTAATTTTATTAGTGAAAAAAAGTTAATGAAGTTTTATAAAAAATATTGTATGAATCAGTTAAATAAATTTTGTTTGTGGAGAAAGTTCAGAATTGAAATACAACTTCACAATAGATACTGAATTCAAACTACGAATACACATTTATAATTTATCTTGGCTCCTTAAATATAATAACAATAGAAGGTACCGTACTTGTATAATACCCCCGACGCAGCAAACCTGCAGACTAAGCGAATTTCTATTTGCCTGATTTGTATCATACCTACAGGTTCATTCTATTCAAATAACATTAGGAAAAATAATACCTAGGTTTGCTGCTACAGGGAAGCTAATAAAGTGTGTTTTTTTAGTAAAATATTAATAGCTTAGTTTACCAAGTTTAAATTTACCAAGTTTGATCATAACATATCCATAAACAAGCAAACAACAACAGTTTACAGTATTCTCCATAAGAATAACATGGGAATTTTAAATTTACAATTTTTTGAATTTTCTCTGTAACCAATAAGTGTTCAAAAAAACAACATACTAAATTCTTTGTTTTATAAGCTCTTCAAAGTGGCCGAGAGATAAATTAAGAAATGTCAGTTTTTGGGGTCACTAATGAGAAAAACCAATTTTACCCCATGAAATCCTGTTCCCATGGTCCGATCATGCTGGTTCGCAAACTCATTCAAAGTTTATCCAGCCCTACACCTTCAAGCCAAATTTAATCAAATTTGGACAAAAATTACTCAAGTTATCGTGTTCACGGACACATATATATCTCTTTATAGTTTAAGTACATTAATAAATACTAACATAGAATAATGGTAGGTGAGCAATAGATCTATTGTTCACTTGCTTTATCATGATAAAGATTGCTGTGGATCAAACACTTTGAATTATTGGCATTTGAGATAGATGACTATTATGACCCTGATGGCTCTCTAGAAATTTACAAAACTGCTGTGGTTTATGGGCTTTCATGAAAAGTCTTCTGAGATAAAATAGTCTTGTGTTAAAATATAAAATTTACAGAAAATGTTTTTGTTGTTTAATAAAGGCATATATTCAGGGCCTCCAAAGAAACCCTTTATAATCTATTATGCAGAATCATTGAGGTAAATATTGAGCAACTGTGGGAAGTGCTCCGTTAGCAAATTAATCACGGGTACAGACACAGCGCTTATTTATTGCTAGCTTCATCATTAGGATTTGTAGTATCTTTATTCTAGTATTTGAACAAAAAGTAGTTGAGTCTATTAGCATGCAACTCATCTATTTAACAAGAAAATCACAAACCTTGGACTCGTAATCAATTAAAAGTTTGTTATGAAACATTTTAATTGACAATATCAACAATAAATATCCATGGACTTTTTAACAATCTGCATATTTGTTATGTCACGTAATTTTTAACATTCCGTAATGTCATTTACACACTATTAATTAACAGTTTTTGATATGTTGAAAACTTTGTAATAGTTACTAATTGCTTAAAACAACTAAATTCTTACATAATTAAAGATCTTTGCATATAATTTCAATGATGATAGGTTGGGTAATAAAGTATTTTATTGCGTTCTATTTACTGGTCTGCAATTCATAACAACAATTTACCAGTTTTAAAAATGTTATTGTTTCTTCAATAATCCATCAAATTCCTCAAAGGGAAAGGAAATAATAAATTTACATAGAAAATCCTTTTTAGCGAGAACAAAAATTTAATTTATACCTCTGAAATATCAAAATCTTCTAGTAAAGAGAATAATTTGCACTCACATTAATAATTTTAAAATATTGCGAAAGTGAGTTATGCATTTTATCATGCTATTTTGCAATCTGTTTTAGTATACTTTTTTGCCATGCATTTTACGATTCCAGAAATTATTCTGTTAGTTGAATTTCAAAACAAACAATCCCGCCAATCTATGAATTTTATTTATGTGATAATTCAGTATATCGATCGTTTGAAATCAACCTTAGACTTTAGATCGACTTATCAAGTAAAAAAGGATAGGAGAACTTAGAAAAGGAGAAACTTATCTACATAGGAGCTTCCCCCCTTCAAACAACCATGAAAGTTTTATAATGATTGGTTAAAGTCATATTGTCAACCCAATGTTATATTTTACTCTATTTTTTTAAATTTTAAGTATTTTTAATCATATTTTTTTAGCTTTATAAAATAAAATAGCAATGTTATACATAAATAGTTGAATTCTAAGATTGTGGATAAATTATATCATATCTCAAATGTGAGTGAGTCGTGATGGTGAATAAGTTTATAGATGTACATTCATTCAATCATCTTTTCACACAATTGGTAAGATTTATTACTTAAATATTTAGGTACTGGTAACTTTTATGAAAGATGAAATGAAAGTTGCATACACAGACTAGATAATTTATTTTGTTTTGTATAAATATCAACCAATGCATGTACCCTTGTATAAAGATATAGTTTGATTTAGGTACACATGTGTGTAAATACAACTACAATAATTAATTGTAAACTAACTCTTTAAACAGAATGTTGTATTTAAGATGTGGAGTGTTTTAAAACGTTAAAATTATTCTTTCAATGGTCTGAAATATGATTTATATTTTTACAAATGATTTTGTGATCATATAATTTGTTTGTACAATGGTATGTATACTAGAGATGTTTTGTGTTCTATTTGTTTCTCGAGTTATCATGTACAGGTGCTCTCAGCGAGTGACACATGGATTGTATCTTCATTGTAGTTATTTTGTACATTTTGTATTAATACTGTGAATTTAGGAATGCAAAATGTAAAATTATAAATGCAAAGTCATTTCATTTAGTAAACATTTTTTAAACAATCCCAGGGTAATTTATTTCTTCCTACAAACAACGCCGGTAAACGTTAGTTGAATAATTTTTTGCCTCGAATATGGTTTGTGTTTGTAGTTAAATAATAAAATATTCACTCGTTAAGGTTTAGTGACATAAACACTAACATTTAATTTGTATTCCTTTAACTGTTTTGTATAACTGAAATGGGTTACAATCAGCAATTTCACTACAAGTTCAATTTAGTAGTTTATTTTCTAAGTAGCTACTTGGTAAATGTGTTGGAGTTTTCCCAAACAGAAGTATAGGGATATAATAACAATAGTCCTCCAATAATATTAAATTCATTTCCTTGCTTACTCTTGGTATCCAATGTGGTACTTAGCCTTTCCAACAAACACACTGCCTCCAGATTTTTCGATCTAGAGTCTCTTCATTCTAGATTTCTTAGGTCTCTTCTGACCTGGTCTCACGATCTCAATTTTGACCTTCCTAGTATTTTTCTTCCCTCGGGGTTCAATTCAATAAGATTTCTTTTACTTCGAGTTGTCAAAATTGCCAATACATTAAAATTAATCTTCTAACACTTTGCAATAGGGAACTATTTGATTTAACTATGATGAAATACACCGTCCGACACAATTTGGTATTTTTACACTTAATTAACAGAATATTCTGTCTTGGAGCACTGCTAACCATGCTTTGTAGCATCAGGTTCATTGTGGGTAGCTGTAATCACCACATTATCATGTTCAATTGATAGCTTAGGTGGTTCCATCATGTTCTACCTTGCTCAGAAACTTGCTTTCCTGTTCAACACACACTATTGCCTCTGCCAACGTACCACTGCAGTCTGGACCACCGCACTAGAAGAACCACTATCTTTGCCTGAGAAATCTCATGTGCCCTTTCCCTGTGACAAACAACACAGGCTTTCCACTCCATTCAGCAGCGGTAAGTGGCTCTATGTTTGCTAATGCATATAATTAGATGGATACAAGTATAATTTTTAATTTTGTGCAACAAAACAGGCTATTAATGAATTTGTCAATTAGAAAGGTATTTTAAAGAGGTTGGCTGCCTCTTTTAACCCTGCATTTGACTGTATATATAGGCTTCCGACTTGTGTGTAGAACATATACAGCAAAGCAAGGGATTGTCCTCGCTGCCATGGATTCATAGTTTGTCATGCTAATGACTCATGAATGCCAATATGAATAAAATTCTCCCTAGACTATAAAATCTGTTTACAGTATACACTATTTTAAGTGACCCTAAAAGTCGGTTGAAACAGACAACTATATAACCTGTGAAATTCTGTAGAAATAAATGTGTTATTGATTTTATAGAAGATAAAATAAAAACTCAGCTACAAATATTAATGCCTAACTCTTTTCCTACAGTTACCAAACAATGTACATGTTCTCTCACTGATTTGAGAAAGCAAAGTGGCCAATTCGCTCATCAGTGAGACAATGTTAACATAATTGTGAGACAATGTTAATATAATTGTGTCTCACTCTAATTACTTTGTCTCACTCCAGATTTGCAACGTAAAGGCACGAAATAGTGAGCGCGTAACATGCAGGCAACGTCGTATGCGCGCGAAATACGTTGGCAGCACTGGCTGTAAATCAGCTGGTCAGCTGTTGTACTGTTGTATTTGTCACTTCACATTAAATGTTATTTTAAAAGTTCACTTCTGTGTAAAAATAGGTTATGTTTCTTCACAAATTTATTTGTTTTATGGTAACTGTAGGAAAAGTATAATGTGCAACTCGAGTTCAAAGTACAATTGCCTCACTAGTTGCACAAATAACTATTGTCAGAAAAACACAACTATTATTGATATTAAATTTCACACTATGAAATATGTGTAGTCATACACTCTAAAATTTAACAGGATAAATTAACTGTTGCCTAGTTGTCCTAAGTTTTTCTGACACACATTTTGGTGTGTACCCCATCGTCAGATCTGTATAAGAACTATTATCAGGCAAGATTAGTGAGAGGTCAAGAGGTTTGTCGAAAGCTCACCAACTAAACACATAAAACCCTAGCCAACTTTTACGGTATTTAACATAGTTTTACTTCCGCAACGTATGCACAGGCATGGAGTCCATTATGGCGTACACACCGAAATGTGCATAATCCAGTAGGATAAACTTGGACCTCAAAGTGACGATAGGTAATTAAACCTTTTTATTTGACAAATAATTGGTATGGAAGCAGTAGGAAAAGAAATGAAGTCTAAAATGTAGCCTACATGATGGAAAAGTCTGATTTTTCTGCTTTAAATTTTCATGTGTGGTTCATAACAAAACTAGACCTGGACAAAGAATATTATTATACTTTATTACTTCTATGAAGATGGTAATGGAATAGAGACTTCCACAGGGCCGTATTTCCCTAACGGCGGTTGCCGGGGGCCTCAGCCTAGGAGGTGGCCTTACTTGGGGCCTCAATTTTTTTCCTTGATAAATGTATTTCAGTTGATGAAATCTGCGCGGCCGTAAAATATTTCGCCGTTAAAGTAGGAGGTGTCTATTACTCCGCGATCGCATAAGATGTCCAGCATTTTATTGTGGCCGCGGGAGTCGAAGTCAAAGATCATGTTCGCGCAAAGTTGGAAGATCTTCACGATTTCGTAATGATCGAAGGAAACGAAGATGATGTCTCCGCACTCCCGCAAGATGAAAACTCTTTCTCCACGGCCACATGAGACGTTCACGATTCCATCGCGATCGGAGGAGACGGAGATGACGTCTCCGCTCTCGCGCAAGTTGTTAAATATTTCTCCGCAGCCATAGGAGACATTTTTAATTTCACCGCGATCACAGAAGAGGAAGATGACGTCTCTGTAATCGCGCATAATGTTCACGATCTCTCCGCGACCGTAGCAAATGTCCACGATTTTACTGTGACCTTAGAAGACGCTTACGATTCGGCCACGATTGCAAATTTTGTATAAACCGATTATAGTATATCGATAATTAATATACAATTTTAAATTAATTATTTCTAAATCTTTGTGATTTTGATCTGATGCCTGGAGGTCACAACATTTTTTACTCAACCCGAATGAAATAGAAAATGTCTGGCCCGACCTCTAATATTATTATTTAAAAAATACAATAGACTTATTTAGTAGCTAGTATCTTATATTTTGCCGATCGGATGGTTGAAAACAAAAGGTCAATTCATCATGTTGAAACAATACAACGTGTATTTCTAAACTAAACCCTTAAGTTCCAACCTTCGAAGAATCAGAAGATAGAGGTGCCTCTCAGGTGAGAAGTTGCCGGGGGCCTCATGAATTCTACATACGGCCCTGGACTTCCATTACCATCTTCATAGAAGTAATAAAGTATAATAATATTCTTTGACCAGATCTAGTTTTGTTATGAACAACACATGAAAATTTAAAGCAGAAAAATCACACTATTCCATCTAAATGTTAGATTCCTAGAGAAGGTCGGTTAAATCAACTAGTTTTTAAATTTCTTGTATAAATCGACCTCTATAAATGATAAAAAAATCCTCTATAATTATCTATAAATAATCTATAAATTATGGTTTGGAAGGAGCTGTTAATCCAGGCGACAGTTGATCCGGCGTCAGTTTACTCCCCTCATTTGATTGATATGTGAAGAAAAAATGTGTCTGTTATATTGTTAAAAACTTACTTACTTACTACTTCGTTTACTCTTTTTAAAGAGTAAACAAACTATCTGCTGTTCATGAAGGTAAACATTTTATTAGGACTGTAATTTCCAGGAACAACTGTGTCCAATTCTTTTCCTTTCATAATGGCAGTGTTGCAAGGTCAATATAGCCTTGAGGTTGACTGTCTCAGCATAACAGTAAATGACCTGGAAATTAACCTTAATATGGATGAAGTCAGCAGAAAGTGCAGCAGTTATTGAGTTGTCAGCATGATCATCTGGTTTCTTCTAGTGCTAACCATCTGTGGACTTCAGGTATCTCTATATATTATATGTGACTTTCGTGGTACGGTAATTCCATAAATCAACCACTGCTTAGTTTTTATCATAAAAAAAAAAAAAAAAAAACGGAATTCCATAAAATAACAGACAATTGTATTTATTCGTAAAGAAGCGGCATTACATACAAAAAAAAATTACTCTGAAATTAGGTCCTGAAAAGCAGTGCAGGAACTGAGTCGCTACATAAAAAAATATTATGAATGAAATAGCCTAAATACAAATGCAAACATTTACCAATGTTTTGCCCTCTGTTTAGTGACTGAATATTACAGATTCAATTAAAAGCTCCCAATACCAAAAATGTTCTGTAAAACCCTAGAACAGTAATACAATTTAAAAGTAGTTGTTTATATAAAAATACATGTTGTTTTCAAACTAAAACTGACAAGTTACATTATTAAAACAGTTATTACAACTATTCAAACCAAGAAATATGTTCCACTCACAATAATAAATAAGAATACAAGCAGAATAATCAGATTAAAAGCATCATTCAAAATCCTAAATTTTAAAATGTATTGGCCATATAGATTTACAATGGTTGAGAACAGATAAAATCATTTGAAAAAGTTCAATCCATACCTATACTGTGGGAGTTAATAGCTTAGCTTTTTTAACATTCTCCATTTAATATTAATTAAATGTTAGAATAAATCAATTTTTTTTGCAAACCTTTATAATGTAAGGAAAGTCTATTATAAGGTGACATAGATGCTCATAATTATTAATATTATCGTACTCTTAAAAAATAACAAAGAATGTGAAGTTAAAAAGCTTGTGAAGATAAACATAATTTATTTTATCCTTAAATCAGATACCTATTTCATATTTGAAAATTTGCAGAGATAGCAAACAAATATTTACATTTATAATGTACTTGTTTGTAGTTTTTCCAATTTGTTTCCATTATTTTTTTTCATTCAGTTGATTTTTTTATAGTTTTTGTTACCAATTTAAAATGATTGAAAGAACTCATATCCTACTATCACACTATATTATACTTGAGGCATAATATTTTATTCCAAAACTCACTTATGCAGGTTTTTTTTTCGATTTTGAGATATTGGCATAACTGGATTTGTTGGAAAGATCTGTATCAACTTTTAACATTAAACCTTTTCAAAAATAACTTTTTCCATTTTTAATTTAATGTATGAAATAAGGTATCTTTCCAAAACTAACTTATTTTAATGGGCTTGTTCTATAACTCACTCATTACACCACAGCCAATCAAAATGCTTACACCTGAAATCACTGCCTTTCCAAAACTGATCTCTTTCCATCTGTCCAATAACGTTGCTTCAAATTGTCATGCGACTCTAATACCTTTCATTAACCCTCGAGCGGGCGCTTGTGGAGTTTTCCTCCGCACTTGTAGTTTTTGTTAAAATAAATACGCATAATGGGTGCCGGCAGTCGTGTCCTGCTCCATACTTCACGCACCTAATCCTGGGAATCCCCCTAAGCCATTTTTAACCCGAAATTCCTAGGTACTTATTTTGTTGTCAGTTGCAATTCAGTGACACGGTGTCAGTTTGCGGAGTTTTTCTCCGCGTGCGCCCTATTGTGTAAGTGCTTAGCGCGGTAAACTCCGCGAATGAAATTAAATTAACTTCATTGGACAGAACTTAACCTTACTTAGAAATCTCCTCAAAACAGAATAGCTTTACCAACTGCATGTTAACAGGGGGAACTGAGCAAAGGAGGCATATTTACAAATGGCAGGTAGATGTCGGTGACGTTTAAGCATTTAGTTAGTAGATAATGCATAATTGAACTGTACAAACATAATTTTACAGGATTTTTGACAATGTGTAATAATTAAAGCAGGGTTTGGCGGGTCTAGCAGCTTTAACTCAACTCTCTGTTCAAAACATTCCACCTCACCACCCACATACTTTGTAGAAATATTTGTAACCAAATTCATAGTTCATTATTAGCACTAAACAACACTTCTAAAGAAACAGTGGTATATTAATAAATTAACAACTCTAATACCGGCTTCCGCCCCTACCATGCTTGACAACAACATAGTAAAAAAAAATTCTAGCCTGGCGCAGCCCCCGCCTCCTAGTGCTTGTAGCCCTGGAGCGACTGCTCCACTCGTTCCACTGTCGCTACGTCACTGTTTTGCATATATATGTATTATTGCATTAAAGCGGAACAAAGCTCCACATGCGACCTCTCTCGTAACACCAACAGTGGTACCTTTAAATAAGTTACTGTACTAGAAAATTACTCAATATATGATTTGAAATATTACTCATATTTAGTTGAACAATTAATGTTAAAATTAACAATGAAATTTGGTTCCTAATTAAGTTATTCAACATTTAAATACAGTATTGCGTTACAACAACAGGTAAAATGGGTTAAATTTGTGCTATTTAGTGTTGCGGAATAAAACTCTGCATACGCCCGCTTCTATTTTACTGGTGAAGCGCCTGCTCGAGGGTTAATATTTAAAACTCACTCAATACAAATGTATCATGTCAAAACTCACTCTGTACAGGCACGTCATGTTAAAACTCGCTCCTTACAGATTTTGCAGCTCAATTTCAGACAAACAGTTGATCGAAAACAGAAAATAAATGTTTCAAGAGGTTCCAGAGATAAATCCCTAAACAACTGAAAAACATGAACATTAAAATCAAGATAAGTTTTTTATTGTGTGTTGCTAAACTGCAATTAGTGAGTTTTGGAATGGAATGAAAAAAATTGGTTGAACGTACATAACAACGTTAACTCATTAAACATCACATAAAACACTACTTTAAGAGCCCATTTGTGGTATGAAATCTTTTTCTTTGATGCTCTATGTAAGTTTGTTGTAGCTTACATGGTCCATTGTATAGAATTTGATGACATTTTATTGATTTACGTTTTCCAGGTAGCTGTTGGGCAAGATGGGCCTCAACATCCAAAAATCATCAGAACTGCGCCTGTTATGGTAAGCAAAATAATTTTTAAATTTAAATTTTATAGAGGAAGATTTTCTTCATACAGACAGAATATTTGGGAATTGCATTGGCTATTGTGAATGTGGAATAATTGTGTTACCAAGTAGAGATTAACCTAATGTAATGAAACAACACAATAAAAAAGAACCACTTTTTTCTTTCAATTTATTTTGATGTGTAGGAAAATATTAATGTACGGTATCTTGATTTGAAAATAATTCTTTATGTCTGCCTAGTATTGTTAGCGTGGAAGACGGTTAGGTCCAATCGATGGGCGAATGATCTCTCGACCCAGGAGTGAGCACCATTTCCCATCTCAGTCAGGTCTAGGTTAGGTCTAACCATAGGCAAATGATCTCTCCGCCCAGGAGTCAGACCCATTCCCATCTCAGTCAGGTCTGAACAATGTGCAAATGACCTCTCCGCCCAGGAGTCAGTACCATCCCCGTCTCAGTCAGGTCTAGGTTAGGTCTAAACAATAGGCAAATGATCTCTCCGCCAAGGAGTCAGCACCATTCCCATCTCAGTCATGTCTAGGTTAGTTCTAAACAATAGGCAAATGATCTCTCCGCCAAGGAGTCAGCACCATTCCCATCTCAGTCATGTCTAGGTTAGGTCTCCCCTTATCAATGGCCAAACGATCTCACCACCCAGGAGTCAGCACCATTTCCATCTCAGTCAGGTCTAGGTTAGGTCTAATCAATGGCCAAACGATCTCACCACCCAGGAGTCAGCACCATTTCCATCTCAGTCATGTCTAGGTTAGGTACTAACAATGGGCGAATGATCTCTCCACCCAGGAGTGAGCACCATTCCCATCTCAGTCAGGTCTAGGTTAGGTCTCCCCTTATCAATGGCCAAACGATCTCACCACCCAGGAGTCAGCACCATTTCCATCTCAGTCAGGTCTAGGTTAGGTCTAATCAATGGCCAAACGATCTCACCACCCAGGAGTCAGCACCATTTCCATCTCAGTCGTGTCTAGGTTAGGTACTAACAATGGGCGAATGATCTCTCCACCCAGGAGTGAGCACCATTCCCATCTCAGTCAGGTCTAGGTTAGGTCTCCCCTTATCAATGGCCAAACGATCTCACCACCCAGGAGTCAGCACCATTTCCATCTCAGTCAGGTCTAGGTTAGGTCTAATCAATGGCCAAACGATCTCACCACCCAGGAGTCAGCACCATTTCCATCTCAGTCATGTCTAGGTTAGGTACTAACAATGGGCGAATGATCTCTCCACCCAGGAGTCAGCACCATTCCCATCTCTGCTGGAAATATTGCAGTGTCTAGTGTGAAAAATAGTATGTAAATAAAACGATTGTTCCTGGTGATGTCCTATTGGGTACCCACACATGGTTCATGATTCCTGATGGCAACTTGAGATATGTTATATATTTAAACTTCCTCTTCAACAATGATACTTACTTACTTACTTTACTTTCCGTGTCCGGAAATCAGACTTCGCTTTTCCAAAAATTAGCTACCGATATGGCTTTACTGCAATGTCAACCTTTTTTGCATGTGACGATACATTCCATACTGGTGCAGCGTACTCCGCAGCCGACACACTGAGCGCTAAAGCTGAGATTCTGAGGACATTAGGGTTAGCACCCCAGCATCTGCTGGTGAGCTTCCTGATGATATTATTCCTCGCCGAGACTTTACCTCTTGTCACAATACAATGCGCCTTAAATGTCAGTGTGCGGTCCAGTATGACACCAAGATATTTGGGTGTAGGACAATGCTGAAGACGGTCTCCCCGCCACCTCACATTCAACTCACTGCCTGATTCTCTATTGTTTAGGTGAAAGGCACAAACTTGGGTCTTAGCAGGGTTCGGCTTGAGGTGATTTGCGTCATAGTACTGGGAAAGTTCATTTAGAGTCATAGTCATAGTTCAACAATGATCTTATGTATTGTTAACAGGTACAATATGCATGAAACTAATATGTAAAATAGATTCAGTTATTGTATTTGAGATATTTATTTGATTCTCTCTATTTTTGATTTGCAGATTCCATGCTTACAATGCCTTCAGAACTCGGACATGAACCTCGGAGCTACGATAATACCTTCAACCCAAGGGTGTGGCTCAGGTTGTAGTTGTGGTTGTGGTGGAAGAAACTATGAGGTTGAGGACCCTTGGAGAGGACAAGTAGAGGTTGGAGATGAACAAGGATGTTCTTGCTGCGGAACTGATAACGACGAATATGTATGTACCAAAATCACTTTGTCATATGACCATTTATACAATAAAACCCTCTCTTAAATGACTCTTAGGCCTAGTTCTAGCTGAGCGACAAAACAAGCAAGACTGACATGACACCAGCAACAGAAAAAATCACAAATACATGTAAATGGCTTGAGCCTGTCCTCGCTGGGTGACCGACGTGAGGACCCTATAAACATGTTTACGCCACACTACATTATTTTGACGAACTTCCCAAGCAAGAATTTAGTCCAGAAAACAGCTGTTTGCCGCCAGCTTAATCAAATGGGGTTTCACTGCGTACTACTGTACTGCAATGAGTTTTACCGGACACCAATCAGCAGATTATACTGTATTTGTGTGGCAATGAGTGGTTATAAACAAAAACATAACCACTCTTAGAGGTTATGACCAGTGATTGTTAGTCCTTTAGTCGGTGGTAATATATACGGATTTTTACGAATTTAGTAGTATGGCGTAAACTATCGTACGTAACTCGTCCAAAATATGTTTACCGGACTTGTATGGTAATCCCGCACTCGTCCGGTAAACACTTATTTTCAGGACTAGTAACGTAATATACTATTACCGGACACCAATCAGCTGATTATACTGTATTTAGGTGGCAATGAATGGTTATAAACAAAAACATAACCTCTCTTAGAGGTTGTGACTAATGATTTTTAGTCCTTTAGTTGGTGGAAATATATAAGGATTTGTACAGATTTAGTAGTATGGCGTAAACTATCATACGTAACTCGTCCAAAATGTGTGTACCGGACTCGTATGGTAATCCTGTACTCAACTTCGTCTCGCACGGGAACAACCACACTCGTCCAGTAAACACTTATTTTCAGGACTAGTAACGTAATATACTATTACCAATGCACAGTTCATTACAGACTGATGTCTGCCTGTTCTTGCTGCTGTCGTGTAATCATTTTTACCATTCGACTATTGCCTTTAAAACCCATTAAACCACCACATGTTAGCCACAGGTTGTAGACTGACGGTCGGTCGTGTTGTTTGCCTCTATCCTGTCGCTCAGCTAAGACTAGGACGTATCCAAGGGACCTGGTCTAGGTCAGATAGTTTAAACGTTGGGATGTTGGGTAAATGAGCAACGGTGTACCTGTAAAATACTGCTGGAATAAATATATTTTATCGATATTGTACCAATTTAACTCAGCTTCATGGTGGGGGAGCTAAAGTAAAAAAACCATAAGAAAACTGCAAATTGTGATAAGAGAATGCCCTATGGCGGGAATGTAGTTTAAGGTTAGGCAATGCAAATGAGATGAGGAGGCACCGACCAAAGTTGCTATAATCCAAAATGGCGGAGATTTTTCAAAATGGCTGCCCGTATTTTGGGTTTTATATATTTTCTTTTGATATACATAATGCAAAATGGTGTTTCTGATAATTTTTTAAGTTTTTAGGTATAAGCTAAGTAAATAAATTGAGTAATAGAGTAATAATGTAATAAACGTAAATTTATTTACAGAACATTTGTATCACCGAATAAAAAACACGCTTTATTTAATAAGTTGCAGAATATTTCTACCAACACCATTTTTAGCTAATTTTCCTATAGGGAAGTAGCTATTACCGTAGTTGGCATGGTAGGACCTAGGCCCAGGACCGATTTACTTTTTCATTTTAATGTCCCCAGAGGCCAAAAACACCATTCGTTAAAATTTTTATATAATATTTGTGTGTGTGAACGCCATAAATTGAGTAAGTTTTTACCGATTTTGATGAAATTTGGTTTGAAGGTGCAAGGCGGGATAAACTTGAATGAGTTTGCGAACCAGCATGATCGGACCGTGGGAACGGGGTTTTACAGGGGGTTTTATGGGGTAAAAATTGGTTTTCTTAATTTTTGACCCCCTAAACACAAAATTTCCCAATTTCTCTCCAGACCTTTTTAAAGAGCTTAAAAAACTAATAATTTCGTATATCAAAGTGTTTTTGTACAAATATTGGTTACGGAGAAAATTCCAAAAATTGTTATTTTAAAATTCCCATGTTGTTCTTATGGAGAATGTTGTAGTTTGCTTGTTTATGTACAGTATACATTTTGATCGAACTTGGTAAATTTATTTATTTTATACAGTACTAAGTTATTAATATTTTACTAAAAAACCCACTTTTTTGCCCTCCCTGTAGCAGCAAGCCTATGTACTCATAAAACCTAATGTTAATTAAATATACATTTAATTGAAAATCAACTCAGGCAAATGGAAATTCGCTTACTCTGCAGGTTTGCTGCGGCGGGGGTATTTCTGATTCATTTAATTCCACACGAATTTTCATTGAAAACATTTATATCAATATCGGCGGGTAAACCATTTATATCATCATGAAGTTCTGAAAGTTTTTGACAAGCGTTACATATCCAGTGCTACAAGCATTTAAATTTTTATTATTTGCAGAACAAAGCAAACTATCATTACTTATCTTTCTTTTGGCACAGTATAAAAATGGTCCAATCAACAGCTTTTGGTTAATATCCACCCAAGTCAATCTGAGGAACTAAGTGTAACCGCTTTACCATTTTTAGAATCCAATCTTCATTCACTAGAATCAGAAAAAAATAAAACCCCCAGAACTGGCACCGTGTTAGGCCCGGTTCGACGGCCAAATTTGTACAGGTTTTCCTAATAAAACTACACTCAGAACGTGAGCGACACATAATAATAAACACAACAATGACTAGTAGAATCAGCTGTTTGGCAATATTTGTCTATTTAGCATTGGCAACCAGGTAAAGAAAAATAATTGAAAGTGTCATAATTTTGTTAACTTTTTTTCCTCTTATATTTTATGGAAAAAATATCTCAAGGAAGAAGAAGAACTTTCCAGTGATTTTGCATTATTTTTTATTTTCCTTATGTCTCAAAATGGATGTAGGCAAAGGTGAAAAACACGTTGTAAATAACACGTTCTAGGTAAAAAACTTAACTCTAAAAATAAACAGCTTTTTGGTGACCTTCAGAATTGGCTGAAAACAAGTACATTTTCAGCCTTAGATTATAGAGATGATATTTAATTGTAATGTATTACAAACTTGGTATTAAATTAAAGGCCGGAATCTCCAGATTAAGATTATACCAATTTTTAATAGTGTTAATGCCATTTTCAAGCTGTTATCAGTGAATAACTAAGTAAACACAAAATACGGGCAGCCATTTTGAAAAATGGCCGCAATTTTGGATTATAACAACCTTAGGCAATGCCTCCCCATCTTATTTTAGTTGTCGGACCATAACCTACATTCATACCAAAAGGGGTTTTCTTATCACAATTTGCAGTTTTGATATACGTAGCTCCCCCACTATCATTTGATGTTCATATTATTATGTTATGTTTGGTTTTGCAAGATTTATTAGAAAATATACTGTGCTCGACAAAATTCAAGTTTGCAAAGTGAACATGTTAATAACATAGTTGTACCTACCATAGAAAGATATTGGGGGGCTTTTAGACTTTATTTTTGTATTTACATAAGCAAACAAATAAGAAGTAATGGGAGTAATAAAGTGGTACATAGAATGTGATGGGTAGTACAACAATGCAAGTGTATTACAATATTGAATATAAAATATAAAATATTAGGAGAGTATTATACTTAAAATTACATAATAAGCTTGGCATAGTACAATAATAAAATATACAAAATTAACCCCGACAAAGGAATACAATATTAATAGGACAGTTTTGACCATATTACGCCATATGTAGCTTATGTCTTTGGCTACTGCTGGACACTGGAGGGTCAATTAGATGTTGTGACTCCAGGGAATGGCTTCAGACACACATTGTTTCGATAGCGTGGTGGCAAGCCTATGGTTGACTCTTGAGGCGGGTGAGAGTTTCGCAGTTGGAGCTATCCCAGGTCCCTAAAGCCTACACTTTGATCGTAGCCAACAGGCCGAGAAGCGACACAGAATAAGCTTTGAGTCTGCTCCTCAGTCCTCACACAATACAATACTTAACATCGGCACATTTTGCTTTTGAAAATATGAATATTTTGTTGGGAAAATCACCAAGTTTAGTTTTACTTTTAACCAAGCTAATTTTATTACTAACTCATGCCAAACACAATAAACACCACTTACTCGATTAAGTATTTACAATCAGGCTCTAAAATTTACTTTGAAAAGTCTAGTTCATGACAATACTATACCTTTGCAGGCACGATTATATTTTATTACTGCAATTAGGTTTGGAATTAATGTCTCTCAATTCCTATAAAAGAGCAGGTTAAAACAAATAAGTTAAACAAGTTTATAAGTTAAACGCATATTAATCAACCTCTATTTTTGACCAGGCAGAGAAGGTTAATCCAAGTAGCAGTTGGTCCAGATTCGATTAAGGTCTACTGTACTTTCCTCTACATACAAAAACTTTAACAAATGATTTTTTTTCTCTTATCTTGGTGTTATTACTTGTTGGTATAACTTCTGTGGAAAACTAAATTTATAAATAAATATTTTGACTCAAAAACCAAATTAAGCTTTAAAATAATGACTGTTGTCAAAATAAACCTCTGATGGGCAAACTCAAGTGTTAGTAAATAAACCATTTCCAATCTACTGTAGAGTCTTGTTTGTCCAATCTTCCGTGTTATTTGACTGATCTTTTGGATGATCGAGCGTAGAACACAGGCCCGTGGCTTATAATGTGATATGAGCTTGAGAGATAATTGCACTCCTCCCCCTCTCCACCTAATCTTATCTTTTTTGTGCCCCCAACAACCCTAAACCTCTTGCCTCCAGGCCCATTGATTGTGCCTATTCCTTCCCTTTGTGCAAGCTGCATACCACCAGAAAAAAATACCATGTAATTCATCAACTCCTAATACCTGCATACCCCTCTCTTACCCGTCTCATTATTAGTGGGAGATCTGATTCTGTAGTGGATGAGTATCACTTTATCTTATTATATTTAACTATACAGTATAAAATAAAATATCGGATATGAGTCTGAGATTGTAGGTTGAATAGTTTCTAAATTAGTGTTTACTTTGTTGTTAATTTGTAATGATGGGTTGAAAAAAAAAACATTTTTCAGAGTCAAGGCTGCGAAGGAAGCCCATCATTTGGTGCTGCAATGTTGGGACCCTTGGCATCTGTACTCTCCAGCTTCATGAGTGGAGTTGGTAGCAATGGAAATCAGGCAGTTACTTTTGATTTTGATGGTGCGTCTTGTGACAATCCTAAAAATTCTCCTCTGCAGCCCCAATGTGAAATACCTTACAATGTGGCAAATCCCCAATGTGAAATGCCCCTCAATGTGGCTAACCCCCAATGTGAAATACCTAACAGTGTACCCAACCCCCAATTTGAAATACCTAACAGTGTACCTAATCTCCAATGTCAAATACCTTACAATGTAGAAAATCACCAATCTGAAATACCTCTCAATGTAGCTAACCCCCAATGTCAAATACCTCACAGTTTAGCTAATCCCCAATTTGATGTACGCTACAACAATGTAGCAAATTCCCAACCTCATGTACGTTACAATCAGTCGCACAGGAATATACCATTGACACCCCTTGTAACACACGAAAAAGACAATACCATATACAATAACCAGTCACCTCACAGAGTTCTGAGAAATAACCACCCTGTGGTAGGCCCTGTTTGCTACAGGAAATCCAAGAAAGGAGTCTCTGATATAGAAGAAGATAGTCTGTACGCATATGGGCAAGAAGGTCCTAACAAAAATAATATTTACAATCAAAAAATTACTCAGGGGACTGATTTAAACAGAGGTTTTCCTCAAAGTAAGCACTCTCCAGGTGGCAGGGATAGTAACTCAATTTTCCCCCAACCCCAACCCGCACAAACAGGAAATCCCAATTTTGATGGAATTCCAAGGTTAGCATTGACTTCATCTTCTCAACACATACCTTATGTTCAAAGTGGAAACCAAGAAAAGAGCATTATACCATTAAATTAGTTGTTTTTAATTTATAACACTTGTTTTAGCTAGGTAGTAAGGTCTAAGTTTTCTGTGTTATTAGGTACTAGCCGTTTTGTATTTTTTTTTTAGTTTATGTGAATGTATTAGCTGTAGTAAAGAATTCATCACCCAAGAGACCAACCTCCTTTCCTGCTCAGTTTCATAAATCGACTGATTAATTCTAACAGAACAGCATTTAATATGTAGTCAGTGAGGAGTAAAGTTTGATTATACGTACAATGGGTTTCCTCTCATTTAAACCCCACAGGACTAAACTCTTCCCCAAACTAATATTAGTCCAAACCAGTAGAAGTCAATGGACAATTGACTGGATAGTGGATATGTTACTAAACCATCCACTAAACTAAATCATATGTGAAAAATTATTGAACTGTATTCTTTTACTAAGAAGTGTAAGAATACAGCATTGGTACAGCACTGGATAAACAGGTACTTGTATGTTTTTCATGGCTGTTGACAAAATAATGTGCGGAGCCGTCTGAACTATCTGATGTTTGAACCAATTGCATCCGAATGAGAGGGAATGTACTATATCTATGTCTAAATAAATAATAACTTTTCTTGATTTTCATGTTTTTTATTGTTTTTTTTCCTGTATCTTGTTAATTTAGGTAGTGTTAGATTTGGTTTGGGGTGACTAAGTGTTTTATAAGTTCCATCACATGATAAGAACTAGACCCGGAACCGATTTACTTTTTTCCTTTCATGTTCCTAGAGGCCAAAAACACCATCCGTTCAAACTCATATTTCAAGAAATTTGCTAATAAATATGTGGATCCGTTAGCGTGATAACTCCAATAAAAGTTATTAAATTTTTATGGCATTTGATATGTTTATTCAAATGAGTTTTTGAACCACCATGATCGGACCATGGGAACGGTGTTGGAGATAAAAATAGTTCCTCCCATTTTTGACCCCCAAAACATAAAATTTTGCAATTTCTTTCCAAACTATTTTGTAGGGCTTAAACATTTTCCCCTCATGGAAATGATCAAATTGCCACATCTACAAACAACTATAAGCAGTATGCAAAATAGCTCATTTTCTCTTAATTCATTCCCACTCGAGTTTGCGAGTGTGAAAGAACATTCCTGCTAGCTAAATTAGCTGATTTCATTGTTGGCGGATTTGTTCATTTGTTGGATATAATTGTTAGATTATATATTCATTTACTACTGTAGGAACCCAATTTAAATATAACACCTCCAATGCCCTGATTGTGATACCTTTCTTCTATACGCTCTACGGGAGTTATGGATGGCTTTGGTTCAGATGACTGTCTTCTGTTAATGTCCTTGAGCTAGTTAGCAGGAAATAAGTTTAGTTTAAATCCCTTTGAGGTCGAATTAAAAAAAAAAAGTAAAAAAGAGTATAGGTTGCCATTTGATCAGTCAGGAAAACGGCGCCCAGCTACCTATACTCGCCATTCAATCGCAAAGGTAAACTTTTTAAATTTTTTTTTTTTTTTGTGAGTATAGGTCGCCATTTTCGAGCAGTCGGGAAACAGGCGGGCGGCGACCTATACTCGCCATTCGACAGCAAAGGGGTTTCAATTATTGTATAATAATAAGTTCCAATTGTACTTACATACATGGGCAGTCTAGACTGCTATCAGGTTCAATGTGAGATGGTGACTAGATTGTTAAATCTTTAATCAACTTACAGTTAGGTCTAAAGTATTATTTTTGTTTCTCTACATATGAGCAAGTATTGGAATTATACAGACTGTCCCTAAAGTCCCGGACCGGTTTAATATTTTCTAAACGACAACAGATAAATCAATAAGATTTGGTACATCAACACCACACCTAAAAATCTACTTTTTTATGGAAATATAAATTTTCTGTCACATCATGGGGACGTCCCGCAAGGAGTCAGAAGGAGATCTTAAATAGAAGCATAGGTTGACATGTACATCAAATTAAAGGTCTTTACTAGCAGAATATAATGCTGTAAATTTGAACTCAAACGGACAACCAAGTCAAGAATGACAGTGGTTCAAAGATTCATTTAATTTGCATTTGGGGGCACAGCCCTAGGAATCGGAAAAATTTTTTTAACGTAAGCATAGGTCGATATGCACATCAAATTAAAGGTCTTCACTAGTAGATTACAATGCCGTAAATTCAAGCTCAAAAGAACGCCTGAGTAAAAAATGGCAGTCGTTCAAAGATTCAAAATGGCAGGTTCAAGAAATCTTTGAACGGCCGCCATTTTGTAACGGGTGATCCTTTCGAGGCGCGGTTTCCGGCATTGAACTCTGCTAGCTAAGCCCTTTAAACTGATGTGCATATTGACCTATGCTCCTATTTAAGATTTCCTTCTGACTCCTCGTGGGACGTCCCCATGATATGACAGAAAATTGATAGTTCCTTAAAAAAGTAGATTTTTAAGTGTGGTGTTGATTTGCAAAATCTTATTGATTTATCTGTTATCGTTTAGAAAATAATAAACCGGTCCGGGACTTTTGGGACAGTCTGTATATTTATCTGCTTAAGTTTTATCCTCATTAATGCCACTAGTATGATCTAAATACATAATCATATGAATCTTATCTTACCTAATTTTAATATTTGAATGATACTTAAACATGTGTGACCCGCTCAATAATGATTGAGCACACCCTAAATTATTTTCAATTTCCATGTTCCAATATTGGAAAGCTGGTAACTTTTTATAGCAATATTTAGAGGAAATTGAAAATATATCCTTTTGCGTTGTTTTATGCATAAATAAAGTTTGACATGATTCAGGAAGTGTGTGAATACATGGGGAGTTAATTCTGTAAAAAAAAAAGGATTGCAAAGAATACTAGTTTGTATTTTACTTGTTTTTGAACAAACCTAAATAAGGTCAGACACGGGTTTAGGGTGAGTAGCGCCCTGGGCTGAAAACAGTTGTACTGTTTATGCACACTATTCCAGACCCTCCGAAAGGAATCAGCAAGGGTCACTTAATCTCTTTCTCTTTTGCGCTTTCTTCAGGCCAGGTGACCAAAGTGACGGTATTCCCTGTTAGAAAACTATTTGTAAACAAACCCAAGCCTCAGAACAACTATTTGTAAACAAACCCTAGCCTCAGAACAACTATTTGTTAACAAACCCCAGCCTCAGAACAACTATTTGTAAACAAACCCTAGCCTCAGAACAACTATTTGTTAACAAACCCCAGCCTCAGAACAACTATTTGTAAACAAATCCTAGCCTAAGAATAACTATTTGTTAACAAACCCCAGCCTCAGAAAAACTATTTGTAAACAAACCCCAGCCTCAGAACAACTATTTGAAAACAAACCCAAGCCTCAGAACAACTATTTGTTAACAAACCCCAGCCTCAGAACAACTATTTGTTAACAAACCCTAGCCTCAGAACAACTATTTGTAATCAAACCCCAGCCTCAGAACAACTATTTGTAATCAAACCCTAGCCTCAGAACAACTATTTGTAATCAAACCCCAGCCTCAGAACAACTATTTGTAATCAAACCCTAGCCTCAGAACAACTATTTGTTAACAAACCCTAGCCTCAGAACAACTATTTGTAAACAAACCCCAGCCTCAGAACAACTATTTGTAATCAAACCCTAGCCTCAGAACAACTATTTGTTAACAAACCCCAGCCTCAGAACAACTATTTGTAAACAAACCCCAGCCTCAGAACAACTATTTGTAATCAAACCCTAGCCTCAGAACAACTATTTGTTAACAAACCCCAGCCTCAGAACAACTATATGTAAAACAAATCCTAGCCTCAGAACAACTATTTGTTAACAAACCCCAGCCTCAGAACAACTATATGTAAAACAAACCCTAGCGTCAGAACAACATTTGTTAACAAACCCCAGCCTCAGAACAACTATTTGTTAACAAACCCTCACCCTCTGGATGAATATTTGTAAATAAGCCACTTGCCTTCACCTGCATTCTTTTCTACCCTTCCCCGGATACTCAAGATTGGCTGAGGCTAGAAACCTATAAACTTTGATATTTCAAAAATGACACATTCTTCAAAACTGCTTATGCATATTTGGCCAAGTTTGGCAGTCATTATAGCCAGAAGGTGACGAAGAAAGTGATAACGTCTAAAGTTAAGGAGCTGCTGATGCATCTGAACTTTAAATACAGGTATGACAATTATTTATTATTTTCTCAATTCATTGTGTTTGACAATGACTAATAGTGTGTTGATGTGACTTAACAAATATAATAATTTTGTATTTATTAACAATATTATTTCACAAAATGAAATGCAATTGAGTGGCAAACTCCCTTTTTGTAATTAATAAGCTTTAATAATAGGGTCAAAATACTTCTAACAAAAATAATAGATGGGGGAAATAACTGAGAAAAACGTTATAAGAACGTTTAAACCAACTAACGGCTAATCCAGTTTAATGCATGTTGAATTACCACAGCCAGAGGTCAATGCTAAGCTTATGATTATTTATAATATATCTACGAATAAAGTTAATAATATTATACTGTACATGGTAAAGAAAATACCGGGTGTCCGAAAAAGAACTGAAACATTTTAAAGGCAAACTTGGATACCAAATAAGAGACCATGTTTAATGTTTTATATATGTATTTAAAGCTTAAATTCTCCAGTTTCATTATAAACTTAGTAAAACTCGATATGAGCACCATTAGTGGCCCAGCATAAATCTAAGTTAAATTTGACCTCTTCCCAGGTATTGGTCAGTACTTCAGGGGATGTTGCACCAACACATGCGACTATACTCTGTTGGACGTGATTCAGATCCCGAATCTACACCGAGTATACATAATTCTTTACTGCCCCCCAAAAGAAAAAGTCCAGAGAAATCATATCTGGACTCCTAGGAGGCTATTGGATGGGGCCCTTCCCTGCCAATCCACCAATCGTCGAAACGAGTATCCAGCGCTTCTCGCACACGCAAACTGTAGTGTGGCGGCACTCCATCCTGTTGAAAATAGACAGGGCCATCCCCATCTCAATGTCAGCAAGGGGGAAAAATACTCATATAAAATGTCACATTAAATGGCACCGTTTATATCCCCTGAAGTACTGACCAAAACCTGGGAAGAGGTTAAATTTCACTTTGATTTATGCTGGGCCGCTAATGGTGCTCATATCGAGTTATACTAATCTTCTAATACAACTTGAGAATTTAAGCTTTAAATACATATATAAAACATAAAAATAGTCTCTTATTTGGTATCAGTATTTGCCTTCAAAAT